CACACACACACACACACACACACACACACACACACACACACACACACCATACATGATCCAGAAATAGATGTCAAACATTGAATAGAACGATAAAATGGCTTGGACTAGAATTCTGGCAGGCAGAGTTTACCTAGTATACACGGGACGCTGGGTTAAATCCTAAGTATTATCAAGAACAACAAGGAACTGGGGTAAGTGACAGACATGTACCTGTAATTGGAGAACTCAGGAGAAGGAGAAAAGAGGACCAGGAGTTCAAGGCAATCTTTAGCTACATGTTAAATTTAGGATAAGCCTGCACCTGATCATCTCTCAAAAACTATGTAGAGGCTGATGAGAGGGCTCGGTATTTAAGAGCACTTGCTGTCTTGCAAAGGATCAGAATTTGGATCCTGGCACCAACATGGTAGCTCACAACTGTTCTTAACTCCAATTACAAAGAATGTGGAGTCCTGTTTAGGCCTACAAGGGTCTCAGGAATGCACACATACATATGCAGACAAAACTCACACACAAAAAATAAGAATATAAAATAATGGCAACCTATTGACTGGGAAAAAGCATAAGAAACTGTGTAACAGACAAAAGATTAATATAAAACCACTGTATGTCAAAACTCACATAGAGGGCAGTGGTGGCACACGCCTTTAATCCCAGCACTTAGGAGGCAGAGGCAGGCGGATTTCTGAGTTCGAGGACAGCCTGGTCTACAGAGTGAGTTCCAGGACAGCCAGGGCTACACAGAGAAAAAACAAAACAAAACAAAAACTCACATAGAGGTGACTAAGATCCAACTCCAAAAAGTTGTCCTCTAATCCCTACATATGACCTAGGGGTTTTTTGTTTTTGTTTATTCCCCAACTTGACACAGCTAGAGTTATCTGGAAAGAGGAACCTCAACTGAGAAAGTGCTTCCATCGTCATACTGCATGTAAGTAACCTGCAGGGCATTTTCTGACTAAGGACTGATGTGGGAGGGCCCAGCTCCCCACAGGCACTGCCACTCCTGGGCAGGTGGTCCTGGTGTGTAGAAGAAAGCAAGCTGAGCAAGCCCGGAGAACAAGCTATTAGACAGTGTTCCTCCCTGCTCTGTGTTTCAGTTCTTGTAGCCAGGTCTAGTCTTGAGTTTCTATCCTAACTTCTCTTCACCCTGTGAAGCCATTACAGAATCTATAAGAATAGCACTGGAACTGTAAACATTTCTAAATTATATTTTTCCTGTAATGTTCCAATAATTTAGTAAGCATAATTATTTTTGTAATTGAAAAAAAAAAGATAAAAATACTAGGCCAATAGCTGAGCAGTACTAGGTCAAAAGCTAGGCAGTGGTGGCGCAGGCCTTTAATCCCAGTGCTTGGGAGGCAGAGGAAGGAGGATCTTGGAGTTTGAGGCCAGCCTGGTCTACAGAGCAAGTTCCAGGCAGCTACAGAGAAAACCTTGTCTGAAAACCACAAAAACTCCACAGGCCACAGAGACAATTCAGTGGTAAAGGCTTTTCCCACTAGGTCTGATAACCTGTCTGGTCCCCAGTCCCTATGGTAGAAGGAGCAAACAGGTTGTTCTTCAATTTCCACATACGACCATGGAATAGAGAGTGTGCATGCATGCATGCATGCATGCATATGCACGCATATACACACACACAATGTGGGAGTGTGGGAGGGAAGGAATGAATGACCATAGTAGGTGCTTTCAACCCCTTTTTCATAGAATGGCTCTGAGTCAGTAGGGTGCTCACCTAGCTCCTCTACACCCAGGCAGGTTGGTTTTGGTAGAGAAGACAGGAACTGGGCCCACCCGCCTACAGACATTCAGTCTGGACACTGCTCGCTCATATGCAGACAGTCTGGGTGAACTAAGCTACTGGAGAAGAGTACAGTGTTGGGCCAGGACATTGGTGCTTAGCTTCCTATCTCTCTCTGGATGGCTCCTCAGATCAACATTTGTAGATTAGGAGCATTTACTTTATTTTAAAATGTCATAATGGAAATTAGCTAAGAGGAATAGCTAATTCCTGGCTACAAAACAAACAAACAAACAACAACAAAAACAAAACAAAACAAACAAAAACAAAACAAACAAAAACAAAAAAAATAAAAACAAACAAACAAACAAAAACCTAGCTATATCCTAAAGACAGCAATGAAGACAAGAGAATCAGCCTCTACTCGCAAGCTCTGAGTGATGAAACCAAGAGAGGGAAGAGAAAGGGAAGAAGAGAGAAATACTCAAAAACATTATATCAGCCATGGATGCCCTTGGGGATGCACTACCTCAATCCTCACAACAGTCAGTTTTACAGAGAAGGAAACTCACATAGGTCCTGCCTTGCTCAAAGTGACAAGTCTAGAAACCTCAGGGTCCAAATTTGAATCTAGTCTGCCTACAAGTTCAGTGCAATAGCAACTATGGTCAACCCTTTGGCCAGCCCCACATTTACCTAGGACCAGAGCTTACTTCCTGGGTCTGCCCAGCCAACTCACCTGTGAACTAGAAGGCAGAATCTGGGAGTTGGGCTCCTCGGATGGTGCTGCTCCTGAACCCATAGGGCTTAGCGTGGTGATTCTGCTTGGCTGGCCACGAAGCGTCAGAGTAATGGTGGTGGGGACCTTTAAGCCTAAGTAAGAGACAGACAGACACACAGACACACAATACAGACAAACAGACACAGAGATAGGAAGACAGGGGATTGATTTCTAGCCACTACTTTCAGGTTAACAGTTTCTTCCCAAAGAAACTGGCCTCCTTCCTGGGTAGGTAGGTTGATGTTCTGTCAGTACATTTGAAAGGCAGTAACCTGTGCTCTCTAGAACTTTCTGAGGGCAGGCTCCACAGAGCTGAATCCAACAATCGAGAACAGGACACCCTGCCTATATGAGATCTGGAAATACTAGATCGGGAAGTCCCCATCATTTTCATGAGACTTACCTGATGCTTGGTTGGAAATTTGAGCCAAGCCAGGTAGGCTGCTCGCCAACTTAGCAAGGCCCCCATTGGTCAGCAGCTGATGGATGGCAGTGGGCTTCCCACCAGGAGTGGCACCCAAGGAAGAGAGAGTGGTGGCCACAGGAATGGTACGGACAATGGTGCTCGTGCCTGTGGTGATGGAACCCAGACTCTGCATGGGGGTTGGCAATTTCACACTGGTGGCCTATTGGACACACAACCAGATGATTAGAAGTTACCACCCAACAACATTGGAGCCTGGAGAGCCCATTCAGCACATTAAGGTACTCTTCCAGGATTTTTTATTATCGTTATTCATCTTTATATTATCTTTAATAATCACAAATATGAGGAAGCTAATATTATTACCTTATTTTATAGATGAAGACACATGACAGAGGTGCCAAGAAACGCATCTAAGCCCATAGAATTAAGTCATAGATTATAATGTACAGTAGTTTCCTGTCTATGTATTTAGAAGGCTTTTTGTCCTTAACCCACTCATACCAGACATAACCTCCCTCCTCTAAGAAGTACTAATCCCACACCGCCTCTCCAGTAGATGATATACCTGTGGGGCTGGCCCTGGGGAGGGACTTCCTGGGAGGCCAGAGGTCTTGCTGCTAATATCCTGCAAGCTGAAGCTGAGGCCTTGGAGGAGGCTGCTGGCTGAAGCGGCCCCTAGGAGAGGACATGGCAGACAGTAGCAGACATCAGTCCCGTGTATTACCCACAAGCAGCCTGCAATACTTTCACCCTACAACAACCTAAACTTGCTCTTAGGCACTCCCCTGCCCTCAGAAAGATACCAGGAAAGCCCTCCCAGCATACACAGTAGTTACCACACAAGGACAGGTGTATGCCAGACACTGCCTTGGATTTGTTCTGCACATCCCAACCTGTTCTAAACCAGCAGTCATGCACTTTGCACAGAAAAATGGACAGCTTGAATCCCACTTTTCAGAAACACAAATTTAATTACTTCTGCAGAAAAAGAAAGACTAAGTAGATTCAGATACCTGGCTACATTACACACAGTCCAACAACCTCAAAGTAATAATCTTAAAGGAAAGGCAATCCATCAATGTCCTAACCTACGGTATCAGGCAATCAACCCTTCCAGGCAGGCTGGGCTTAGAAAAAGTACACAGCAAGGAGGTAAAACACATTTCATTTGCTGATGTCCAGTTCAGCACCACCTCTAGCTTGAGCTAATCTGAGGTATGAAAAAGAAGAAGCACAACACAGGCACTGTCCATCCTCACAGTAAAGGACACAGCCCCTTCAGACAGTAAAGACAAGCTAATTCCAGCTTCCGTTAGCTTCTGCCATCACTGGAAGGGCAGAGCTACTCCTTCTAGCTCCAGTCCCAGAACTCCTGGTCCAAGACCACCACCTTCCACCAGCAGATCCTAAAGACTCCTGGTAGAGAACGTGATGGGCCACAAGATACCTGGAAGGGAGCTGCCTGGAGAAGTGGCCACCAAGCGGCTCTGCAGCGTGTGGATGGCATTGGGTGTGGCATTGCTGGAAGCCACAGATGAGGCTATACTGGCTGTAACTCCACCTTCAGAAGAACTGGACCTGGAAACAAAGGAAGGAGCCTGTCATCCCAAAGAGCAGCAGCCCACAGCCACAAGGGGAGTATCCTGAGTGAAGTCCAGCAAGAAACAATCTTCTGTTTCTTTGTTCTAGCGTCTAAGCCCCACCTCTATCCTTCTAAAAGCCAAGCCTAAAGTAAGAACTCAAGTCTTCAGTAAAGTCGGTGGAACTCTGCAATCTCATAAGGAAAAATGAACTCAAAACTGACAGAAATGAAAGAAAGCTCCCAATCAGAAAAAAGTCTCAGGCCGACAACTGACTCCAGAATCTCTGGACTTCCTTGAACACCAAATTTGTGAAGAGAAAGAGGGACTAGGAGACCAAAGGCAGACTCACTTGGCTGTAGTGAGAAGTCCAGTGAGCTCCTTGGCTCCTGCTGAAGCTCCCAGGGTCATGGTGATGGGCTTCCCTCCAGTAGCTGCAGAACAACCAAGACCAAAGGTCAGTCCTAACTTGCCCCTAAGCCAAGGCTGAATTTAAGACGGAAGGTGAAAAAGAAGGGCTATGCTATTACAGGAGAGTTGGGGTTCTTCCTTCCTTCCTTCCATTCTTTTTAAGGCTTTCTAGAGTATCTTATTACCTTAATTGGAACCCCAAATGGACAAAGTGTGTAATGTTCTAAATGGCCCCACAACTACTCTTAGATGTCTCCCTTCTTAAGATAGGTGACTACCACTTTCCACCATGTGTGACTCAGACTACCTCTGTTCCAGGTGTCCATTGCACTGTTAGAGACTGGGTTGCCTGCCAAGCCTGGGAACGTTAGTCGGTCTTTACTAAACACACCAAAAAAGACTCACCTTCAGGCGTTCCACCTTGAGAAAGAGTACAAGGCCCTCCAACTGTGTCCCCTTGGGAGATCAGGGACACTTTGATCTTCGGTCGCTTGGAGGGCTTTGAGCCAGGAAGAGGACTGGAAGGATGGTGCCTCTTCAGCTGGACCCGAAGCTCTTCTTTCTCTACGTCCTCCACTGGTTCTGATGAAATGGGAACTAGAAACAGAGCTGAAGTAAGATCTTCCATAACTTACAATACCAAAGGCCAAGCCAGCCATGATGGAAGATGCACAGGAGAAGTGACATAGGTACAAGCTGTCCCACTCATTGGGGACCTGGCTTGGAGCATCTCAGCCAACCTCAGCCGTCCTGGAGCAGGGAGATAAGGGGCCTTGAGCTATTGGGAATCAAAAGATAAAAGGCATGCTGATGCTGTCTAGCAAAACCAACACCATCAGAGAACTAAGGAAACAGTCAGTTCTCTCAGCACTTTACAGACTCAAAGAATTTGGTCATTTCCCTATTATACACCTTCTCCCAAGCTGTCCCATAGTTGAGGACAGTAAACAGCCTATGAGGAACATACATAGACAGGCCACCTAACCCTCTGCATACAGGCGTTTTCACAGGGCTTCCCCAATCTCCATCATATATTAGGTACTTGAGGCTGAGGGCTTTGCTTGTCAAATCGAAGTAGGGCAAACAGACTGTCACCGTGACTTGCTGGCTCTCAGGAACTAGTAAGATAGCACTTCAGTTGCTGCCTGAATAAGTCATAAGTGGCCCATGTCACAACCAGCTCTGGGGATATAGGCTTCCATTAACTCAAATAGATCACTGTGCATAAAGGCAAGCCTTCTAGGCTCGCTAACCTTTAGGCTTTCTCAGTTTCCTACTCTGTGACCTCAGAAGTCTCTCTTTTGTCCTTGTTAGCACGGGCAAAGAGACTGGGGTAAGGAGCAAGACAGCAGGCCAATGAACATGGGGTTGCTGTCATGGGCTAGTGAGGAATCAAGGGCCGCTTAGGGATGAATGTATCAGCCTAAGATAGAGAAGTACTCTAAGTGGCTCTTGTACTTGCAGCAATCAGGATGGAAACAACCGAGGCAGGGAGAAAACAGACAAGAAAATGCAGGCTCACACGAAGGCAGCAGGCCACAGGCATACAAGAGAGACTCAGAGCTAAAAAGCATGGCAGAAAAAAGTGAGAAAGCAAGACACGCCACCACGAGAAACCAACGAAGAGAACATAAGCAAGGGAGCTGGGAGACAGAGAGGATGAGAAGAAACAGTAGAGAGCAGGAACACTGAGAGGCAGGGAGGAGAGTGGCAAGCCTAGGCAAGCTAGTGAAAGTGATACTCACCAAAGAGACAGGAGGAGGTGCCGGGAGGAAAAGCTTTCCTCACCAGCATGTTTTGTTTCAGAAAAGCAGCAAACTGTGCTGGAATGAATCAGAAAGAATTATAGAATCACAGCCAGCTGGAGAATGGAGGAACAGAGCAGGAACAAGGAAAAGATGAAAACTGTCAACCATTCTTTCTGAGGGAACCACACAGATCTGGAACCTGACTTTGCTGTGTAATCGCCACACCGGGCTGTTGCCAAGCCTCAACAAGCTAGGGCAAGTCAACTCCAAATAGAAGGGTCAACAAGCAGTGAGAGCTCTGTTAACTACTATTCCCCACCCACCCATCAGCTCTGCCTAAGTCATGGTTGTGTGGATGCTGCTGTCCCCACTGACACTCTTGGGTCTCATCTTAAACCCAGCTCACCACTCAGCTTTCTAAGTCACCTTATGTTTCTCTACTAATCATACTACCCAGAGATACAGGAACCTGCTGGCTCTGCCTTAACCAAACTCTAAGGGAATCCCACCAGTTCCAAGCACCATTTACAGAGCATCCACACAGACCTCAGGAGGGTCTGGCCTCTTTTGTTGCCTTCACTCGCCCCCTCACACTTGTTAGTGGCATTTATAAGAAGCCTTAGTTTAAGTAATGGAGCCTTTGGCCTCTTTAAAAGTAAAAACGGTGTTGAGCAGAGGACCTTGTTGGGATGGAGGGGAGTGGAACAAACCGGCATTAGGGACAGAGCCATGGATGCTTCTTTCTTTACTCACTGAATTTCCCTTTTCTACAGCTCCTTACTCACACAGCCCTTGGATCCCTCCAAACCCTGATCTCAACAATACAAATACTTCCCAGCCTTATCTGAAGCTTAACTGCAGAACACGGACCAAATCTGTAAATGTCCCAGTATGGAATCTCTAATTCTTCAAGACCAAATCAAAAAGGCAAGGTGAGCCTACCTAGTCTGAGGAGTAAAATCAGTCAACCCTGTGCTTTACCTGGAAAGCCCTCTGACTCCAGGAATGGCTGGCAAAATACATAGCTTCTCCAGTTTGAAACTAGGAAAAAGGACAGACTACTGCACACTTTTTTTTTTCTTTTTTTGGTTTTTCGAAACAGGGTTTCTCTGTGTAGCCCTGATTGTCCTGGAACTCACTCTGTAGACCAGGCTGGCCTCGAACTCAGAAATCCACCTGCCTCTGCCTCCCAAGTGTTGGGATTAAAGGCGTGCGACACCACTGCCCGGCTTACTACACACACTTATAAGCTCACCATCTCCAGCACACCAGGACAGACAGGGCTATTGACTAATGGCAAAATGCCCATTACCACACAGTCTTGGGACTCATTTCAACCTGAGTTTGCCTAGAAGCAATATGAGAGCTTCTCACATTGCCCTGAAAAAGCTGCAGAGCTAATACTTCCCAACTCTACATGACACTAGCTGCAGGAGACAGAGCCCTACTGGGGCTGCTGGGCCAGGAGACCATCTGTACCTTGGGCTTGTCTGTGGGTCAGCACAGCTTCTGTCCTCTGCACATGTCTTTTCAGTAGCTGGGAGGTCCCAATCTGACTGGACTTCTGGGCAGAGGTCACTGTGGTCACTTTGGTCTTTGGGCTAGAGGTGGGACTGCTGGACACACTAGAAAGATCCTGTGTAGAGAAAGTCCAAAGAGATTTGCATCCAACCATCGTCAGCATGTCTCCCTGCATCTACGGAAGACCACTATGCATCCTTAGACCTCAGCAAAGGTGCCCCTCCCTGTGCACACTACCTCAGAGCCTGAGGGGGATGTGGGGAGCCTGGCAGCTGGAGAAGCAGGACGACTGCCTCGCTCAGGAATTTCAAAGGCCAGGTCTCTTCGGGCCAAGTCCCGGGGTTTCTTCTTCTTCTCAGCATCCTGATCCCGAGGTTCAGAGCCCACATGACCTTCAGCACGAGTGAGTACCCCAGTCAGGAAGTCCACAATCTCATCCTAGTATGAAAAGGAACAAAGGCCTTAGTCCTCCTCTGGAGAACAGGACCCTCCTAGACAGCATCAAGATAAACAGAACACCATTCTCCACCGATGGTTCTTTTAACTCCAAAAGCCACACAAGCCAAGCTTAGCTGCTATACTTGGGGTTAGACCATCGGGTGCCTGTGAGAAAGCCCTGGGCATACTCCACGCCCTAATCTGCTGAGATGCCCATCCATATCTCAGATCACTTCTCCCTTGCTCTTTTTTCTCCCCCTTCCCCTGTTCTTTGATTGTGTCTTAGGTCTACCACAGAGCCTACTGGATACCCTTTATGGTCCAGAGTCAGCAAGGACACTGCTAGTAAAACGAAACCTAACAACAAAAAGGAGAGCAAATTGTTTACCTGAATACATCTGTCCACCATGCTCTGAGTCAAGCCCTCTGATTTCTTCTTTGCTTTGCTTATTCTAAGACGCAAAAAAAGAAACAGTGAGACCAGTGAGATGACCGAGAGGATAAAAGCATTGCAGAGAGAATATGATGACTGAGTGCAAACTCTGCAGCCCAGAGTGGAAGAGACCTGGCCCTGAGGGTTATCCTACCTACACACGTGCACGCGTGCACGCACGCACACACACATCCACAGAGAGAGACAGAGATAAAAAGGGAAGGAGGGAGGGAGAGAGGAAGAGAGAGAGAAGGAGGGGGAAGAGAAAAAGGAGAGCTGTAAAAAATGATTTACCTATAAAGTAAGACCCTGTCTAAAAACAACAAAAACCTGATTTCTGACTGAGGCTCCTGGAAAACAGAAAACCAGGCCCCTAAGTTATACAATGGAGAGCAACATTATTAAAACTAAAACCCTCTAAAACAAATTAAATGACATTTAATACAAATGCTACCTATGATCATGTTGATCTTCCAACATGAGTTGCTCAGGACCTACATGGTCTTAAGGAGAGAACTAACTTGCACATTGTCTTCTGACCTTCATAAAGTGTTAGGGCATGGGGGCACCTGCACATAAAACCAACAATAAACATGTAACTCAAAAATGAAAAAAAAATTTTTTTAACCATGTGAGGTGGCATACACCTTTAATCTCAGCATGCAGGAAGCATAGGCAAGCAGATCTCTGAGAGTTTGAGGCCAGCCTGGTCCACCTACAGAGTTATAGGACAGCCAGGACAACAATAGACCATGGGGATCTCAAAAAATTTAAAAAGAAATAAAATAAAATGTAAAGTGTACGTAATGAAAAGTTTGATGTCAAAAAGAAAGAGTCCCCACCGGGCGGTGGTGGTGCACGCCTTTAATCCCAGCACTTGGGAGGCAGAGGCAGGCGGATTTCTGAGTTCCAGGACAGCCCGGGCTACACAGAGAAACCCTGTCTCGAAAAACAAAACAAAACAAAAAAAAGAAATCTCAAAGTGTGTTCTCACCACAAGATGACTTCTAATTACAAAGGGGAAACAGTAATTTCATAGTGGAGAACCCCACAGTAGCTATCTCAACTGTGTGATCAACATTATCATCAGTAATAATAGGACAAATAGAATCATGTATCCTCTGACAGAATCCACTGAGAAGCTACATCACCTCTGTGGCATTCCTGACAAAACTAAACATCTTCAATGTGTCAGAAGAAAATATGTAAAAGAACTATTTATATTGTAACCACTGAACCGTCTTCAACAGTGTCAAGGTTCCAGAAAACAGACACTGAAGACTGGGCACAGAGACTCAGGAGGTAAGGGCAGAAGGATCCTGCTCAAAGCCATTCCCAGCTTTGAGTAAATTTGAGTTCAGCCTGGGCTACATGAAATTCTGTCTCAAAACAAACAAGAAAGAGGAGGAGAAAAGGTCTCTGTCTGTCTCTGTCTCTCTCTCTGTCTCTCTCTCTGTCTCTCTCTGTCTCTCTCTGTCTCTCTCTCTCTCTCTCTCTCTCTCTGTCTCTGTCTCTCTGGAGATACTGATGAAATCTAGGTTAGTTATTTAGACTAGACAATACTATTAAGTCGACACTAGTCTCCTCATTTTGAAAGTTATATTTTTGGTTATTTCTAGTGTTGTAGTTTTTTGAAACAGGTTCAAAGACCAGGCTGGCTTTTGCTTCAGCTTCCTGAATACATATTGGGATTATAGGACGCATTTTAATTGTTCCTTCAGTCAGACTGGTCTGTCATTATACTGTCAGGGACAAACACTCTCTAACATTCTAATATGCTCCCTCTTGTCTCTTGGGAAATGGACCCACCTGAGATTATCATCAGCTCCCCCAACAACAACCAAGCTATTTTCTGCTCGAATCTTTTCCCGGAAGTCCTCCATGGCTTCAGGGTGACACTGTAGAGAATTCTGACCAATGACAAAGAGGACTGGAGTCTTCATGTCCAAGAGGGGATCATCCACATCCTGGAAGAGGTGGCAGTTTAGATTTAACCAGCTGGTCCTCAGGAAGCACTATCCTTGAAGCCACCCAGAAGGGTCTGCTGTGACCCTGCAGGAGGCCTCACCCACCCAGGATACAGCATGCACTCCATTGTCCCACATTCTTGCTGTACCCCACTCCCACTGCCAAAGACCAACCAGTTTCACCTCGCTCTTACCCCCCGAGGTCCATCCACAGTAAGCAGAGGAAACCCAAGGCAAACAACAGCAGTGACATATTCCATCACAGACACCTGTAAATAATGGCATCATTCAGTGTTAGGGCAAGTAAATTCACTACACCCCAGCCTCCCCAGAATGCAGGTGGGCCTGGGTAGCCCAGAGCCACCAGACAGCCCCAGCTTTTCTTGCTTGTTCTAGCCTTCAGTTTTGTCAGCCATACATGATTAAGTGTACAGAGCACAGGCAGTTACCACCTAGAGAACTGGAACCCTGATAGGACCTCCACACACACCTGAGCCTGATGGGAGTTGTCATATTTAGTCCTGTTGACAACCTAGACTAGAGCCTTCTTACTTACTGACTTTATTATTGAGAACAAATATAATCAAAAGAACACAGATGTTAGCAGGCTGTGAGATAGTTAGGACAGAGTAGCACACTTTTATGTGCACACAGAGAAACACTCCAAACATACAAAATACACAAATGTCAACACCATCCCTTAAATGAAGAAATCTTTCATAGGCTCTTTTAAGGGACACTCCCACACAGCCGAGACTTCTCAAAGCATGTGGCTCCTGAGAGCTCTATTCCAGGCATGCGGAGGTTTGCAGATGCTTGTTCTCACTATATAAAGGAGCCAAACATGAATACAACATCAAATTCAAAACTAATTTGTATCTATTTGAAATGTTAAGGAGAGAGCATAGTATGTATTTAAGTCTGGGGGGAGGGGGAAGGAACTTTTTTTCCCCCAGAGATATATGCTCAAACATATATAAATGAAATATATATTTGGAACTTTTAATATTGTTTAGTTTTCTTCTCCTAAGAAATTTGGAGTAACCTAGAACTTATATATAGTCCAGGGTAGCCCCAAACTCATGGCAACTTTCAGGCCTCAGCCCACCTAGGGCTGATATTACAAGCATGTGCCATTACACTTTGGAGGTTTCTTCAAAATAATCTGGAGCACAATGAAAGTGGGCAGGAAAAAGACAAGCAAGCCTGACTCTGAGCTGATCACTGAAAAGGCTGGGTGAAGAGCTCAAGGAGTTTATTTATTACTCTATTCTTCTATTGTAGCATCTCTATAATAGCATTCAAAAACTAAGACTGTCTTCCACAGTGTAAATGTAGTTTCCCATGCAAAGTGTGTAGTACTAAGACAAACAATAAAGATCTCAAAGTAATAACAGTAGCACTGATCCCATAACCACCTTCAAGTTTTCAGTAACCTCCAAATACAACTGAAACTACTTACATGACAGGCCACCAAAGCTCCTGTATTCCATCCAATCAAGATGATGGGTTTGTGTGGGAAATGACTGTGAATCTTTGTGGCAAGAGAAAAAAGACAGTAAGACAGGTGACTCTAAGGCAAAGAACAATCCTACACTGGGTGCGTACATCTCAGTGAACTAAACCTGGGCATTCTTACCTCTAGTACTTTGCTTCTCACTGCCCCAATCATGTGTTCAAGGCACTGCAGAACTCCTACCCCACTGCCATTGTTCAGCAGATGGGTAGCTACAGGGATGACCTAAAGGGAAGAATGAGCATCTGTGCCAGGAGTGCCAATCAAACTTCGATTCTGCTTAGCATCCTAAATCCCTTAGACAAGTGACACTTAATGCCAAAATTAGAGTTAGGGGAATGAACCACATTTCAGTTTAACAACCCTGACCTCCCCTCCCACACACTCTTCTCTTTAATCCTCCAAGATTACACACTTCCTACCCAGAATTCCTCTTGCCCTTACAATTACCTTGCCTAAGCAGGAAAGCTGTGACTGCCAGAAGCGGTGGCGGCGTGAGGCAGGGAACACGGAGCTGGAGGGACCAGAGGAGGCGATGAGAATCAAAGGAGAACCAGGGAGCTTGCTCTGAGGAGACAGAATCCCATCCAGGAACCACTGAGTGAGAGTTATTCATCTATAAGCTCACAACAACTGTGTCAAACATGACTAGAGAGATGGCTCAAGCAGTTAAGAGCACATACTGTTCTTCCAGGGAAGCTGACTCCAGTTCCCAGCACCCGTATCAAGTGGCTCACAACTGCCTGTAACTCCGATCCAGGGGATTCGAACCCTCTTCTGACCTCCATGAGCACATAGGCATCTGCACTCATGTGCGTGTGCGCGCACACGCACACACTTTAAAAACAAATCTTTAAAAAGAATCCAAGCTATTAATAAGAAAAGTTAAGCCACTTATCTTCCTCTTGCCAAGCCTCTAAGGCTCAGTCTGAACATTTTATGTGCACTTAAAGGCTGCCGATTCTAAGTCAAGACTGAACAACCAACTTACTGGTTTGTTATGTGAAAGCACACCAACAGCAGGGTCCCAGGGCCTCTTGAGGAGAAGCGACAAGGCCTCTGCTCCTGCAGCCCCAGTTTTGGTGTTGGACGACACAAGCATCCGGTCTATCAATGTTGGGATCTACGAAGAAGAGCAGAGAGGATTCCAGTGTCAAATGAGAAACCTTCCCTTCAGCTGCATCGGCTGCAGGAAGAATCAGCTCCTAGCTCTTATGCACAGCCACAAAGCAGTGCACAGCCAGAAAGTGCACTCCTGTGGAAGCAAAGGAGAGCTGAGCCTCTCTGGAAGGCAATCTGGTGAGATGCATCAAGGGACAAGTGCATTCCACCATCCTTTTTCCCCTGATGATTGTACTTCAGGACTGTACTTCAGAAGACACGCAGAAATCAACCTCAGTTATACTGGGGGTGGATGGGTGAAGCACTACACAGCCTGGGATACAAAAGATCCTACCTGAACAAATAGCCTTCAAGTTGAAACATGTATAATGAACTCTATTATTGTTCCCCCAAATATATCCTACTATATTTTGCTTTATATCATATCCTGTTTTTAACTATCCCCCAAAAAAGTGACCTCATCAATATATAAATATAGGTTTCAGACATGCTGATGCTTATACTGCTAAGAAATATCTTCGTAAATCCCACAATACCCACAGAGAAGACAAAAACAATCTCAAGGAAAGAAAGGAAAGCTTTTAAGTGTTAGAGGTCATTTTCAGAGGAATTTCAAAGGGATGTTTGGAGACTAGAGAATATAGTATGAGGCAGGTATAAAACTCCAAAGGCAGATGAGCTATGCCTTAAGAGAGAGAGAGAGAGAGAGAGGGAGGGAGGGAGGGAGGGAGGGAGGGAGGGAGGGAGGGAGGGAGGGAAGCAGATAGAGACATATGCAGAGTCAGAAAGACTGATCTGAAGCTGGTAGTAGCTCTTATCTAGGATGTGCAAGGCCCTGGGTTCAATCTCTGGTACACAAAGTAACTAAAGTAAAATAGACAATGTGGCATGTTACTTGAAATCCCTCATCTGTCCTTCATATAAATATGCTTCAGTAACTTTAAGAAGATTTGAAATCTGGGCCCAGAACTCAGGAAGCTAAGGCAGGAGGGTATCTAATTCAAGGCCAGAAAAGGAAAACCGTCTCAAAAAATAAGTAAATAAACAATAAAAGGAGAAGAGATGCTGAAAGAACTGTGCATGAGATTGTGGAAATTATACCCTCAAGTCTGCCTCAGTTAACTCAGTGTTCTTATAAAGCACAGAGCTAATCCTGCAGAGGGATTTACTCTCAAAGGGTGAGAAAGACAAACCAAGTTGGAGGTGATGGTGAGGGATGTGTAGTGCTAACACCATTGGGGGGAAGAGAAGCCCACACTGGTGATAGAGCCATCCAACAGAGCAAGGAAAGTGAGCAAGTCACATCTGAAGCAGTAACACATAAGGTGACACAGGCTTTGGAGAAGCAGGACTCCATCATGAGATGAGGTATGAGCCATAAGCCAAAGGCATGGCTGGGTATGGTAGCCCATTCCCATAATCCCAGAGCTTGGGAAGCAGAGGTAGGTGAATTAAACAAAGTTCAAGCCTGTCTGGTCTACAAAGCTAGTTTCAGGTCAGGCAGGGTTACCCAGTGAGATCCACTCTCAAAAGAACAAAAAGCAAGGACATGTTGTGGGGTTTATTCCAGACCCAAGAAGACTTAAGTACCAGATTCTAGCAAGGAAGAAGGAGTATGCAGTGACAAAGGTTAAAGGCCAGCTGCAAAGGCTCACCACCCCCAACTGGCCATTCTTTATTTCCACCTCTACTCACTGAGGTTACTTATGAAGCCTTCTCAGGCAGTAGTTTACCTATGAAACTGAAAAGCCTTGAGGCTCACTGTCAACATGAAGAAAGCCCAGTAACTGACTTTTACCCAAGACCAGGCTTTCTAGTCCTCTCAGCCCTATATGCTTCTGTCTCAACACAATGAAGACCCTGAGTTTGACGTCCCTTCTCTGCTAAGGGGAAAATAGCTGGGCTAAGAACAGGACTCAGCCAGGCGCTGTCTAAAGCCTAGCAAGTATTTTAAAGGAAAACAACCCCATGCTCATTAACAGCAAGTCTGGAGGTAGAGAAGCCACCAATGGAGAGCACAGCCCAGGGCAGAAAGTACCTTATATTCAATGTGCTCACTGGCTAGTGTACCAGGCACATTCATGCCATTTCAGCTAGCCCACACTGGACTCTAGCAGTATGTCCAGGTAGCACTGGCACCCGCTGTGCACACTTAAAAGAGTCCACACTATAGGTCTGTCACACTCAAAATATCTATTACCCCATTCACATAGTAACTTAAACCAAAAGTAGTGCAGCCTTGTCTCTTCAAGCAAGGATATCACTTCTAAATCCTGGGCATGGCAAGTGTGGCAGAGCCACCACTGCCCCGGGTACTACCAGCACTCGCCCCTAGAGCACACTATCCACCAAGTACACTTCTCGTTGCTCACCCCGATGCAAGGTAAATTAGCTGAAGGAAAAACTGAGGTCAAATATCCTACCACACATTAACTGTTTTCTCTAGTCCTGAGTTCTCTTTTACATTGGCACACAACCAGTTTTCTTCAGCTTTCTAATAAAATAAACACAGTATTTTGTAACTTAAAAAAAAAAAATTAAGATTAAGAATGAAAACAGGGGGCTGGAGAGATGGCTCAGTGGTTAAGAGCACGGACTGCTCTTCCAGAGGTCCTGAGTTCAAATCCCAGCAACCACATGGTGGCTCACAACCATCCATAAAGGGATTGGATGCCTTCTTCTGGTGTGTCCGAAGACAGCTACGGTGTACGCATAATAAAATAAATAAAATAAATCTTTAAAAAAAAAAAAAGAATGAAAACAGAAGTTTTAAGGACGTGACTCTGTGAACATATGACCGCACAGATTCAAGAATCTGGGCTCTACCCCAGTACCACCATGGAAAAGAAAAGGAAAGTGAAAAACTGAATTAAGAACCATTACGTAAGACCATCTTGTGCTGGAGCAAAGCACACAGTCCTCAAGCCCCTTTGAGGGCCACTTACATAATCCTCAGTGGTTACTGTGGGCTTCTGATAAACTGGCTTTTGTGTTAAGAACTCCATCTCATTCACTAACTCAAACCCTACAGAATGAACTTGCAGTGTAGACCAAGCTCAAAGTGATGGAGATCCACCTGCCTCTGCCTCTACAGTTCTGAGATTAAAGGTGTGTACCACCATATCCAGCCCACATTCCATCTCTTCGTGAGAAGAGTTAACTCAGGTAGTTCCCTGTTATGTAATCCCCTGGTCCTCTGAGAGCTACAGAGCTGCCTTGCACACACCTTACCTAGGTCCTCCTCGGTTTAACCTCATCTCTTTCATCACAGCTCAAGAGGACTCAAAGTGAGAACTGCCCAGGCTACAGAGGTGAAGTGTGTATTCTGGTTTTCATATGCCACACTTTATCCAAAAAATGGCAGAACTGAAAAGTGTATAAACGAAACCTAAAATGATACCCTTTTCCATTTTTAACAGCCAAATTGTTAGCGTCCATGCTGACCTAGTCACCTGGCCTTATCCAAACCTACATCCTGAACCCAAAGCGATCACTGGCTGGTGCTACCAGGTCCAACCAAGCGCAGCCTTACCTTCCCTTTTAGTGTCTGCAAGGCATCCAAGTAAGCAGCGAGCATGGGCAGGCTCAAGGTCTCCACGAGGGTGGTGTGCAGCCACTGGATCAGCTTGGTGTCCCAGCTGACACTTGCCAGCGCCTGCCGCACCCGCCTTGCACACTTGTCCACAGCAACACGACGCAGCACAGGCTCATTGCAAGCCTGAACAGTGTTCACAAAAAGAATAAAACAAGGGTTACACTCGGTTAACAAGCCAGGGGTTGGGGGAAGAAAGCACACGGGACACAACAGCCACTGAAGCCTGAACTAAGAGAGTCAACTATAGGCAGACTTCCAACATCTTACCCCTTCATTGGCCAATCGTGCAAGCCGGTCAGACTGCAGGGCTTTGAGGATCTTGTTAAACAGCTTATTCTGAGCCACTGTCCAGCCAGTCCTATAACAGAAACTCAGAGGAATTAAAATGTAACCCTGAGGACATTTCCCGTGTATGTCCACCATATAAAGAGATGCTGTCATATTTTTGTTCTCATTATGAAAGAGTCTAATCTAAGGTCAATGAGCTAAAGCATGACTCTAGCTTTTAGTCCCAATTCTGACAATAAATCACCTTACCATACATTACAAGTCACGACAAGTCATGGAGTCTCTTCAGTGCTCAAAAGCTAATTACTTATCTGGTGGCTAAAATAATCATATTAGTAAATACAGATATGTTTCTTTTTTTTTTTTTCTTTTTTTCGAGACAGGGTTTCTCTGTGTAGTCCTGGCTGTCCTGGAACTCACTCTGTAGACCAGGCTGGCCTCGAACTCTTGAACTCAGAAATCCGCCTGCCTCTGCCTCCCCCAAGTGCTGGGACTAAAGGCGTGCGCCACCACCGCCCGGCTCAGATATGTTTCAATTCTATTTATTTATTTATTTATTTTCCAGTACAGTCTCACTTCAAACTGTACTCAAACTCCAAACTCCTCTCCTGCCTCAGCTCCATAGGGTTGGGATTACAACACATGCCACAATTGACCAGCAAACACTATACTAGAAACACCAGAGTAAGGTAAGAGCTCTATTTAAAGCAGTTTGAAGAGCAAAGATGAAAGAGAACTGTAACAATTCTCTAGTCCCTCAACACTATACCTAATACTAATGGTTTCCCTTTTCCATGTTTTTCCCCTTTTCTGTCACACAATTGTGAAATAATGTTACCATTTTCTTATCCTAGCACATCAGGACATACAAATGTCTGTCTTCCTTACTGACAGCTTCTAAGCCCAGCTGTAAATTGCAATTACAAATCTATCCTACTATTCTCAGCCCTGCTTCCCTGCCAACATAGGACACTCCTCACCTCACTCCCAGCAACTCAGTCATCTTGACATCACAGCTGTGACCAGTAATCTTAAGGGGCAGGAGGAGAAAGGCAACAGAAGATATTTAAACTCTATTTACTCTCTCTCCAATCAAGAAACTCCTAACAAGCCAGACATGGTAGTACATGCCTTTAATCCTAACATTCAGGATATGGACACAAACAGATCTCTGTGAGTTCAAAACCAGCCTGGTCTGCAGTGACTCCCAGAACAGCCAAGGCCATTACACAGGGAAAAAAAAAAAAAAAAAAAAAACTGTCTCAAAAAAACAAAACAAAAACCAAAAACTCCCAACAACTGGTAACAGAATTACATTTATGGGCTGGTGAGATGGCCCCACAGGTAAAGTGATCATTGCTGTGCAGGCACCAGGGCCTGAGTTTGTATCCCTACCATCCACATAAAAGTTGGGCATGGTGACACAGGTCTGTAACTCAGTTCTGGGGTTGAGGGGTGGGCAGAGAAAGAAGCAGCTCAAGGGTTTGCTGCTCAGCCCACCTAATCAATCAGCAAGCTCTAAGTTCAGTGAGAGACTGTATCAAAAAATAGAGACTAGAGAAAAATATCAGATAATCTTGGTCCTCCACCTGTATAAACACAGGTGACCACAGCTGTATAGTCCACATGTACACTTAAATGCTTGAATACACATATACATGGGGCACACACACACACACACAAATAAATAAATTAAATGTAAAAAAAAAGTTACAGTTCTGCACCAAGCCTTGTGGATCCCAGATCTCTCCAATCTCATCACCTAATGACTGTCACTCAGCTTAGTTCTGTGTGCTTCTGTCCCTGATCAACACCTCCCATTCCCCTATGTAGACCCGTGTGCATCAAGTGAAGTCCTACACCTGGACCCTTTTCATTCATTCCCTGAACTCCCACAGTAACACCCTCTGTCCTTTTCCTCACACCACTGTTAGCCATCACCTTCTCCCAAGGCTTCCTTGATCCCTCTTATCCCACCTGGGATTCTCTAGCTCTGTTTTTCAACGACCTCACATTCTAACCATTCTGTGTTTGGCTCCCTTTGTAAGATACAAAAGCCAAGAAAGCCAAGATTTTTAAGGTTGTATTTTAATGCTAGATTCCCAGTACATGTAACAAGTGCCTGACACACTGAGGAGTTATAACACTGCTGAATGAACAGAGAGCTTGCACACACAATCCAAGCGCTCTGAACAGCTTGGTCCATCTGGTCCCCACACTTAAGCAACAGGAACAACACAGCATGGTCAGCCGCAGAGAAGCTGCTTGAAATGGTGTTAACAGTCTCCACCTCTTACTTCACAGGGGATGAGCAGCCTTTCCATCACACGTGACCTTACTCAACAAGAGACTTCTACAGGCTTATAACTACTAGTATCATAGCGCACTGAATACATAGATGAAGGACAAATTACCCTTTTAATTTACTCTGTTCAACTACCTGGTTCCCCAGGAACAAGCTAGTATTTACCAGAAACTCCCTTTCTCTATGTAAAATAAAAATTCTCCATCTACCACACAACTTACATGGTCCAAGAGAAGCCTAACCAACCAAGAGGCAGGATATTACTCCACTCTGTAATAAGGAACGGGCTATGTACCCTGAGCCTTCCTGTCTAAACAACAGACACGGACTGGATGATCTCTGCGGTTACTTAAAATTCAGGTTAGCTATGAACAATAAGAGCAACCTAGGTTTAGAGAAACCAGGCAACCCCTCTTCAGAAATGCCTTCATTTCCCTCCTTGATAGCAGCATCTAATCCAGCCAAGTACATCCCCAGATCTTACTTTTTTGAGACAGAATCTCATCAAAACAGCTCAGGATGACCTTGTACTTGCCATGTAACCAAGGCTCACGTCAAGCTCAGGAGCCTCCTGCCTCTGGCTCCTGAATGCTGGAATTACAGACCTGCAGCATCTCACCTTGCTAGGAGTGCCTCTATCTATCTGCAAAGCTTTCCTTGCTACAGATAAATGCCTGAGTTCCCAAAGCTACTCAGTCTCTTGTAATACTGTGGAGGGAACTAGAAGCAAGCTTAGGTTTCTAGTGCCTTTTTCTTTCCCCTAGTTCTCTTGGCGTGACTCCTGTGACTTCATCAGAATCACGTCTATTGTTAAGACTTTGGATTTTGGAGACAGATGGAAAGCCTTACCTGTACTTGGATAGGAAGGCTTCTTGGTCCCTACCCCTTTGGTGCATACTCTCCTTTTCCTTCACATTACTGAAATGCAGAGCCTATTTATTCACCCTCCAGCATCTCTCCATAAACAGTGATTCTCAGGTGGGCTAGAGATGTGCATGCGTAGCAGTGGGAGGAAACAGAATGTTCGCAAACAGTATAGGAAAGGCTTTCCGGAGACAGATACAGTGCCATTTCAATGTACTTTCTTAGTTTTTAATCATTAGTTACATTCTACCCTCTCTGGTTTGGTTTGGTTTTTCAGGATAGGGTTTCTCTGTGTAGCCCTGGCTGTTCTGAAATACACTTTGTAGACCAGGTTGGCCTCTAACTTAAAAAGATCCAACTGCCTCTGCCTCTCAAGTACTGAGATTAAAGAGGTGTGCCATTACTACCCAGATAAATTCTACCCTATTTGTAAGCACTAATATTATAATTTGTGTGTGGGTGTGGTATCTATGCATATGCATGTGAGTGGGGTGTCCAAGTGTGCACATGTGAAAGCCAGAGGTTGAATTTTGGGTGTCCTATCTTTCTCTGTATTATTATTTTTTTAACAGTTTCTCACTGATCCTGGTACTCCATTCATGGCTAAATGGTTGGCCAGGAAGTGCCAAGGACCCTCATCTCCTCCTTCTCCAAACCTGGGGTCATAGACATGTGTCACTTTGTCCAGCTTTTTTTTACACAAATGCTAAGGAGCTGAGCTCAGGACCTGACCTTGCCTAGCATGCACTTTATCCTCTGAGCCTCTCCTCAGCCCTTCCCTAGTCATTTTTTAAACTCTATTTCACTATGAAATCAAAATGATACGAGGAAAAGATGATCTGAATAAAAAAAGTTAAAATCTATTTAGAACACCTGCAACAACACATGAAATTAAATTTGAAAGCCACAAATTTTGAGTCTAAAAGCTCAGAAAAAACCTCTTAGGGTTGTTGCTGCACATACAACCAAGTGACCCAAGAACTGAAGCATGTTCTGTGCATTCTCAGCTTCATGGGAGGCTAAAAAATTAAATGGGCAGGGAGAAAAGATCTAACCCAATATTAAGATAAAGAGCATGCTAAAGATATAATTTAGGAGCTGATGGGAACTGTGTGAGTCAACGGCCCCTCCCCTCGGGCCTGACTGTTTACTTTTCATGAGTGCAAGAAATACATTTTCTCATTTCATAGATGACATCACAGTCTTTTGTCTTCCTTGGTCGACCAACCTGAATGATATGCTGACCTCAAGCTTGGCCTAGCTGAAGAAAGCAAAAGAGCACACTGGTCCTAGAACACCTGACTCTTTTTTTTTTCTTTTTTCTTTTTTTAAGAGACAAGGTCTCACTACGTAACCCACACTGGCCTCAAATTTGGATCCTCCTATCTCTATTTCCCAAAGGCTAGGATTATAGACATATCCCACAAAGCCAGCAAACCCAGTATTTTCAAAGGTAATTATTAATTCCCTGATTCTGTTCCAAGGGAGCCTGGTTCAATGCAAAAATGTCTAAAAGAATTAAAAAGATTTCATTTTATGTGTATGAATGTTTTTGCTTTCATGTATATATGCATGCCTGATACCCAGAGACCAGAAAAGGGCACTAACTCCCCTGAAACAGAGTTAGGGTGGTTGTTAGCCACCACGAGTGCTGGAAACAGAAATCTGGCCCTCTGCAAGAACAGTAAACACTCTTAACTGCCGAACCATCATTCCAATCTCAGATTTAAAAGAGAAAGTAATTTTTAAAAAAATTCTCTGTGTGTAAATGGTGTGTGTGTGTGACGTATTTAGGAGGGGGGCACATGCCATGGCACTTATGGGGTCAGAAAACAACTTTGTGATTTCTCTCCTTCTCCCTTACATGGGTTCCAGCAACTGAGTTCAGGTCATCGGCCTTAGACCAGGTTTGTGTTTTGCCAAACGCCATCTCACTGCCCCTGTCTAAAGGAATTTTTTTTTTAATCTTCTTTTTCTTCATTTATTTTAGCTTTTATGACACAAGATCTCTTTAAATAGCCCTGTCTGTCCTGGAACTTACTAGGTAGACCAGGATGGCTTCAAACTCAGAAATCCTACTAACTCTGCCTTCCACCCACTGGAAATCAAGCTGTGCACCACCATGCCCAACCTATAGGAAAACTTTAAGTAAAAGTCAAACAGGATAAGACAAAGGATATCAGAAAAACTTGGTTAAGTCACACAATTAAGAAAGTAAAGAATTAAAAAGGGAAAAAGAAAATGGGCAAGATGTAAGGAATGAAAGAAAACAACTCAAAGCTCTTGAACTTGAAGAAATATAAAACATCTAACCTGATATATACACATACATAATGCAGTATATAGTCATACAACATATGTGTGTGTATGTGTGTGTATAAGTACACACACATACACACACTCAGTAGTATAGTTATACAAAGTTCAGAAAGGACACTGGGAAGGTTTTTGGTTGAAATTCTAAAGCTCTCATTTTAAAGATAAGACAGCCTACTTTTCAATATTTTCAATACTAAATTGTTTACGAACTAAAATATTTTGTTTTAATGTCATCTGGCTGGGCAGTGGAGGCACTTTAATCTCAGGACTCAGGAGGCAGAGGCAGGCAGATCTCTGAGTTCCAGGCCAGCCTGATCTACAAAGTGAGTTCCAGGTCAGCCATGGCTACATAAGAAACTCTATTTCAAAAAACAACAAAAACCCCACCTCATCCAAGCAAGCGAATGAGTACTTTGTCAAGTGTCCTCTCAAAGGCAGAGCATCTAATGCAACTTTCCACCTGAGGAACAGATGAGGCACAGGAGGGGGTGGGGAGGCAGCAGGAGAAGAGTGGGGGTTGTGCTGGTGGTCTAACAACTATGACTGTGACACAGAAACATAAGAACATGACCCATGCCCACCCAGCTAACTTCTTTACTATAGAGTAAACATATGTGGGTTATAGAATATACGGTCCCTGACACAACTACAAAATTCCTGTTTTAGTGCAAGAGCAGCCAAGGGCAATAGCTGTATTCCAATAATCATTATTTATAGACACTGAAGTGAAAATATTATGTGTTATGGAATAGTATCTCTTTTTCTCCAGCCAACCTAAAAACTACTCTCAAGACATTCATAAGCAATGGACCAAATATGGCACGTGGGTCAGTTTGACATCCCCTGCCTGATCTAGATAAACGCAGAGACTGAAACCATTTCAGACAGTATCCACTCTATTAGAGAAGACTAGGATTGGGTGGTGGTAGCAGATTGTTGTATCCTATACACAAAATGATCTGTGAGTGGCTTCAACTGAGTAGAAGAGGCAAGGGAAAGAGCCCTAACAAAGAATGGAAGTTTCTTACTCTAAAGATACAAGCCACTCAGTCTGTAGTCTCTTTGAAGATAAATATCTAGATTTTAGGGAGGTATCCTATAGAGGTGTCCACATGGAGTTCTCGTGTGGAAACCTGTAATGTAACCTGCCCTATGCAGAAAGAAAGGAAGCAGCAATTTATCAATCATGGGAAAGAAGGCAGTAAGATGACTGTAATCATAACAGAGGCAACTTCCGAACAAGCTATACAACAACACTGACCTCCTTAAGGTAATATGTGCTAACAAATAATGGAATCAGCTATCTGTGACTATCCAAAGAGATAGCTGAAGGGCTCCTGCTAATTCAAATCTCACCAAGACACAGAGAATAGTTTACCAGTGTGCAGAAGGTCCTACTAGAAGGATGGGGGCTCACTCTAGAGCCCGTAGGTGAAGACACCCTAGTCTACTTGGTGCGCCCATCTTTCTTCTGTAAACTCTCTACTCACCCACCCCCGATGGAACAAAATGGCTTCTCAGGATTCTCTACTGGGAACACACACACACTCTGGCTAAGCACTCCAGTGTCTCTTCTGCCTTGCAGTTTTATCTTTCCTTATAAATTAGGAAACTAGTGACCATACATGATGACACAAACTTTGCTTTAAAGTAAAACAATGTATAAAAATAAATAAAAGGGGCTGGAACAATGGCTCAGCGGTTAACAGCACTTACTGCTCTTCTAGAGGTCCTGAGTTCAATTCCCAGCAACCACATGGTGGCTCACAACTATCTGTAATGGAACATAATGCCCTCTTCTGGTGTGTTTGAAGACAGCTACTGTGTACATACATAAAATAAATAAAATCTTAAAATAAATAAATAAATAAATAAATAAATGGCATGGGAGTGACACATACCAATAATCCCAGCACACAGAAGGTAGAGGCACAAGGATCACGAGTTCAAGGTCAACTCTAGCTAGTAGGAAATGTGAGGTGGGCCTAGGTTACACCACAGACCCTGTCTCAAAAAGATATCAAGAAAGGGGGTAGAGAAATAGTTCAACAGTTGCGAGTACTTGTTGCTCTTGAGAAGACGAGAGTCAGTACCCAGGATCCACATCAGATAACTCACAAATGCCTGAAGCTCCAGGGGATCCAACAACCCTTTCTGGCTTCCAAGGTCACCCACATGTGGCATACATTGGCATACACTCACAGACATATACACAGTAATATAAAATATATCTTTTAAAAGAAGGAGTGACTGACGTAAGCATTGTTATGTACTATTAAGTCTAATGACTAGCTTCCAGACCTCTCAATCATAACCAAGGGTTAACTAATTTTAAAGAGTACTTCAAGTCTGTCATACATTTGTCCCTCGTGTTTTTTTGATATATTTATTTTATGTTCATGGTGTTTTGCCTGCTTGGATACCTGTGAAAGGTTGTCAGAAGTCTGGGAAATGGAGTCACAGACAGGTCTGAGCTGCCATGTGAGTGCTGGGAATTGAATCGGGTCCTCTCAAAGCGCAGTCAGGGCCTTAATCATTGAGCCATCTCTCCAGGCCATTTCCCATATTTTTTAAAGTTGCATTTTTATCATTATTTTTAATTGTCTGTGTGTATACACATGTAGGTATGTGCATGCACGTGTCCAAGAAGGCCAGAAGCACCCCCCTTAGTCCTCTGAAGAGCAGTACACCCTCTTAATCTCTGAACTATCTCTCTAGCCCCTCTCATCATTTTTGAAAATTAAGTTCTGTCATGGAGTTATACCTCTAACCTTACAAACCTATATTTTAAAGCAATTCAAGCTACTAGCTTTACATATGATTCCAAAACATTTATTGCCTTAACTGTAGATCATATCATATCAATGCAAATCTCACAAACATAAGTTTAGTTTTTTAGGGAGTTTGGGTGGCTCTTCCTACAAAGTTAGTCATATCTACATCCAGCAAGCCAACTGTACCGTGTACAATTTTGTGGTGCTGAGGCCTCACGCATGCCAGGAAATGGCTTTACTTCTGTGCTACATTCTCAACTCCCACTTCTTGTAAAAAGATTAACGTTCACTGTGCTGCCCACACTTATCTCATTCAATTCCTTCTCCTGCCTAGGCCTTCCACGGTGCTGCAACTGTAGACATCTGCCACTGTGTATGCCGGCTAGTGTGCCAGAGTTAGGACAGCGAGTGAGGCAGCACGCTGCAACCCTCCTGCCATGTGCTCCCTGGCAGTGAGCTGAGACACAATGCACTGTGAGGCCGTAAGTGAAATGAGATGAGCTCCAGACAAGATTTCAATGACAATGATGCTCCAGAATTACCGAGTACTAACTAACATTAGCCCCAAACTGGCCAGCTTATCCAGGACTGGCCTACCTGTTGACGTGCTCTTCCCAGTCTTCTGGTGGAGGGGGGGCATCAGCGTCTGTCCTGGCGAAGATCACATGCCGCTCACACTCGTTCATCACACTTCTTGCCTTCTGATTGTCATAGAGTGGAACAGGAGTTGCTGTGACCGTCTCCACATCTATTGGAACGTCTGACTCACTGTAAACAGGTGAGGAAATAGGACCAGGCCACACACACTTCACACAACACAGATGCTTAACCATCAGCTGGTTGCCAATGTTTAAAACATGCCTAATGAACGTGATTAGCTTTAAATGATTTTCACATCCACAAGAAAAACCTGATCCACAGTCATGACATCCTCTCATCTAGCTCCCTCCTCGCCCTGCTGTGTGTCTGGGAAAGGCAAGTCATTATACTTCTGTGGCTTTGGTTTGTTTTCTCTTTTGAAAGTTTCACCCTGGCCTGGAGTTGACTATGTTGCCCAGGCTAGCCTTGAACTCAGTAGTTACTGTTCTTTTAAGATTTCAAAAAGTTTTGTGTATGCATGTATGTGGGTTATGTGTGTGTGAGCTCCAGTGTCCACAGAGGTATCTGACCTAGGTGCTGTGAGCTGGATGTGGGTCATCTGCAAGAGCAGTGTTGATCTTAACTGCTGACCCATCTCTCTCCAGCTCCTAGCCTTAACCTCTGGGCTCTGCTCTTGCCTCGGCCTCACCAAGTGCTGGCATTATAGCATGAGCTACCACACCTGGCTCCGAAGTCTTTTTAAAAACGCAGTTATACAAAAAGTAACATGCAGATGTCAAAGTAACAATACTTATATACACACAAGCAAACAACTGGCTAACTAGGCATACTGTCCAAATACAGAAGTTGTAAGCCACATGTGGCTACTTAAAATTATTAAAATAAAACAGAATTTAAAAATTCAGTTACTCAGGGATGGAGAGATGGCTCAGTAGTTAAGAGCATTTGATACTCTTGCAGAGGTCCTAAGTTTGATTCCTAGCACTTACATGGAGTGACACAATTGCCTAATTCTAGCTCCAGGGGGATCTGATGCCTCTGACCTCTGAGGACACTGGTATTCAATGAACATACCACACTCATAAACACAATTAAAAATAAAATAAATCTTCCAATACAGTAATTCGGTTCCTAAATCACTGATTCCCTTTTTTTTTTTTTTTAAAAAAAAAAAGGCATTAAGACACAAACACAAAGAGTTTTTATATAGTTTTTAAAAAATTCAAATTCTACTTAAAGGCGGTTTTCAGTTATGCCCCAGGCCAGAAGCATCAGGATTATGCTAAAATGTTCCCCTAAAGTCAAGGCTCATGAATGTTGAGGAAACTGAAAGCCAAAAAACTGTTACTATCATTGGGAAAGAAAAACTCTTCTGAGCTGGGTGGTAATACAGAGCTGCATTTGTGAGACAGAGGCAGGCGGAACTCTGTGAGTCAGCCTGGTCTGCATAGAGAGTTCCAGGATGTCCAGGGCTACATAGAGAAATCCTATCTCAAGCAAGCAAACTACTCTTCTAAGTCACAGCATTGACTGCAATCCGAATGTTGGAAGGCTGCCAACCTGAACTCATAGCAAGTCCAAAGCTAGCCAGGGTACACAGTAAGACCCTGTATTAAAGGAAAACACACCAGCTAATCTAGGTGGCACATATCTATAATCCTAGCACCTGAGAGTGCAGGCAGGAAGATCAGAGATCAAGAACCATCTTAAGCTACACTACTGTCTGGTGAGTGTCTGTGTAGAACCCAAATACAAGATCTCAACCCTCACTAAAACAAAACAAAAAAATAATCTGTGCTTTAGGAAAAATTAAATACAAAGTCAAAATAAACACAAAATCTCTTATCCAAAAATTTGTAATGATCAGAAAACAGCATTTCAGCAAATCCTGATATGGGTGGAATCAGAAAGTTCAAAATAATTAACAAATTAGTTAGGTCAAATGTAACCAAATCACTTATCAGAGAGTAAATTTTTGAAATGTTCTTGCCCTCTAATGTAGGGTGGCTGGAAATATAAAGAGATTTAGGAAGGGTTTATATTAGCCCACAGATGGCTTTCTGTAAGGAGGGAAGAATGAAAGCAATGTTTGGGAATTCCCTCTCCATCTGTGCACTGCAGCCAGGGACTAGAATGATAGACCGTAACCACTGTCAAACTAGATGCTGCAGTAAAGGGAGGAGGGAACTCTTCAGCTTCCTCTCCTCACACAAGTTGTTACTCTTTAAACAAGCTAGGCTGTTTTCCTTTGTGCATCTCCCTTTCCTAACTCACGTTTGGAAAGGTCTGTGAAGGTGTCCACACTTGCCCTCACGTACTCATGCTGTTCATCCAAGCTCTCCAGTCACCCTGCAGCCCCAATCACTCCCAAGAACATCTATCTAAGCCCCGCCACACGATCACTGCCAAGGTCAGGCGGAAGTAGCCCTTAAGAAGGAAACCCAAACTCACATGGTATTCTCAAACTCACATAGTATTCTCCTGCTGCCGACGGGGAGTTACAAAGAGCATGCGGGTGGGGCGGGCACTACTGGCATCTGGGTGGGCACTCCATGGTTTTGCATAGCTATGATCCAGAAAAACGAGGTCCAGTTCTCGCTCATGCACTGAAAGCTGGAAGAGCAGGGAGGTACCCATCCGCCGAGCTGAAGTCTGGAAGTCCCTCTCCCCACCCCGGTGGGCCATGTCAGTGGTCAGGAAGCCAAGTCAGGGTGTAAATATCTGCATGCTAGTCACCTGCAGTGAAAGGGGCTTGTCAATTCAATAGCTTCCATTTCTCCCAACTTTCACTATCAAAACACGCCTTTAGGCCCATCATTCGTATCATCGATTATGCACATCTTTGTGTCCTCCTACACCACTATCCAGCAGAAAGGTGCCGGTGCCACACAACTATAAACTGACAAGACTCCACAGTTCAGAAAAACATGACCTTTGCAAGTGTCAAGGCGTGGGGACGCACGCCTTTAATCCTGGCACTGGGAAGGCAGAAGCAGACGGATCTCTCGGGAGTTCAAGGACCGCCTGGTCTACAGAATGGGTTCCAGGACAGCCAAGAGCCACATAGTGAGATCCCGTCTCAAAAAAAACAAAAACCAAAACCAAAAACCTAAATTTGCAGGGCAATTTCCTTCTTGGGTGGTAAAGGTTTTTGCAATCACCAGAGGGATCACAAACGTGAATTCTTCAAAAGCTAAAGGTCCCTACTTTCCATCCCCTAAAAAAGATGTGCGCAGGGCTGGTCGGCTGGAGCGCCCCGGCACAACAGGCGGGCACCGCGGGCCTCCAGGGAGTTGAGTGCAGCCCAGGGCTCCAGGCTTCATCGCTTTGGGCTGAGGTCAGGGGGACCCTGCTAGGGTCACACACCCACCAAAGGTTTACCAATGGTTCTCCAGGGTTTTGACAAAAACCAGAGCCCGCCCGGGCCCTCAGGAGGCTTCTCCTCCTTCGTCCTCCTTCAGCGAGGCGCCAGGCAAACGGCCCGCTCCTCCGAGAGGTTCCCGCCGCGGAGCCGCAAAACCTCAAAACTGCCCACTTGCGCAGCGCGGCGGCGGCGGCCCGGGGGCCCGGGCGACTCGGCCAAGGTCATCCGGAGTTCCCGGCAAGGAGGAGCCGACCGGCCCCGCCTCCCCGTCCCCAGGCCCTCCTCGGCCCCGCGCCTCGGCCGCCCCAGCGCCGTGTCAGCCTCCCGCGTCCCGCCCGGCACGGCCGGGCCCGCGGCTCCAGTCCCGGGCCCCGCAGGCCCGAGGAGCCCCGAGGGCTTCTCCGAGGCCGCCACCCGCCGCCTGGAACCCCACGGGCCGCCACCCGCGCAGGGGCAGACCCACGTCTCACCCGCAGTTGTCGGCCGCGCGCTCGCCCGAGCCGGACCCCAGTGCGCGTGCGCCTTACCGCCCGACGCCGCGGGCTCTGAGGAAAACGCGGAAGTGGATCACAATCCCGGAACGGCGCGGCGGCAAGCGGCAAAGCCCGGAACGGATCCGCGCCCGCTTCCTCGCTGGCCTGTGGAGAGCGCTGAAAGCGGCAGAGTAGAGACGTCCTCCCTCTGCGTTTTCTGTGGGAAAAGAGAGGGCAAAAAGCAAGATAGTTCAGATCACCCCAGCGCTCGGTGTCCCCGCCGCAGTCAGTTCCTCGTCCCCTTCCCTTTTACAGAGCTAGGTTCAATTTGCAGTGGGTGGGTGGGGTTTAATCCCAGCACGCAGGAAGCTGAGATTGGAGGATCTCGGTGAGTTCTAGGACAATCTGAGCTACACAGTGACACCCTGTCTTCTCAAGACCTCAAAACAAACTAGAGAGATAGGAAGAGGAGAGAGAGGGAAAGCTTCGCAGAATGTTGGGAAACAACTCTAGGGCTCTGAAGAGAAATTGGTAGAGCTCAGACTAGGATGGAAGTAGAAGATGAGGTAGAGGAGGGATGCAAGATTCAATTTTTAACTGCCTAGCCCAGCAGATCCCAGCAAGCAAAGCTTCGGCCGGCCTTTTTCTCATCTCAAAATGTGCAAATAGCTAAACCCTGCCTCACCAGGTTGCCAGGGGAATGCAGTAGATTATTTCCGCTACCTGTCAAGAGCTCAATTGATTTCTTGATGGCAATTACTGTGTGCTACCTACCCCCACCTCCGTGCATTACAACTCAGTGTTGTTGGTTGTTTTTATTTATTCATTTATGGAGGAGATGGTGAGACAGGGTCTCATGTATCTCAGGCTGGGCCCAAACTAGCTATGCAGCCAGGGAAGACCTTAAATTTTGTTGTTGTTGGCTGGGCAGTGATGGCACACGCCTTTAATCCCAGCACTTGGGAGGCAGAGGCAAGCAGATTTCTGAGTTCGAGGCCAACCTGGTCTACAGAGTAAGTTCCAGGACAGCCCGGGCTATAAAAAGAAACCCTGTCTCGAAAAACAAAACAAAAAAAAAGTTTATTGTTGGTATGGTTTTATTTTTGTTTTGTTTTTGTTTGTTTGTTTGTTTTCGAGACAAGAGTTTCTCTTCGTAGCCCTGGCTGTCCTGGAACAAGCTCTGTAGGCCAGGCTAGCCTTGAACTCAGAGATCTGCCTGCTTTTGCATTTAATGGGGATTCAAAGCATTCCCACCACCTCCTGGGATTACTGGCCTGCACCACTGTGCCTAGTATAGAACACAGTGTTTTAAACTCTCAGTTGCAATCTCATTTAAGTCAGGAAAATTAAGCAAGGACAAGAGGTTTCTAAGTGTGCAGTGACTGAAAATTAACTCAAAGAGTATTTCTGGCCGTTCATGGCTTACATCCACCATGTTACCACCGAAGCCTTGGCTCTGAGCACACAGCATGCACACTTTCACACCGCTTGTGCCATATAGCTGCAGCACCAACAAATGCTTTCAAAAACTGCCTGACTGAGACTTTAGACTACTGTATGTTATCAATTGCAGTGTTTTTGCTGTAGACACAAAGTTTCCTGCTCTTACAGAAACCTGATAGTTTTATTACGAAAAAAAAAAAAACACAAAGTCTCTTAATATTTTCCTATCTCTCAGCATGTATCAAAGTAGCATTTCTCTGGATTATGATAGAATGCCTGGCTTTAGAAATTGCCATTTGGCCGGGCGGTGGTGGTGCACGCCTTTAGTCCCAGCACTTGGGAGGCAGAGGCAGGCGAATTTCTGAATTCTGAGAGTTCGAGGCTAGCCTGGTCTACAGAGTGAGTTCCAGGACAGCCAGGACTACACAGAGAAACCCTGTCTCGAAAAAAACAAAAACAAACAAACAAACAAACAAACAAAAACAAACAAAAAAAGAAATTGCCATTTGAATGGCTGACTTGAGCTTCGTAAAACAATCGTTAAATGAATTTTAGCCTGGGATCAGGACAGACTGTCCAATCATTTCTGAGAACACTTCTGCCCATTTTGTAGCATGCCTTTATATGAAGTAGCTTTCTTAGCATTAATCTTTATAAAATCAAAATACCCATCACCTCAGAGGCAAGAGGATCAGGAATTCAAGAACAGCCTCAGCTATATAGTGAGTTCAGAGCCAACCTGGGCTACATGACACCTTGTCCCTCAAATTAAAAAAAAAAAATCAAGCAAAGGAAAAAAGAGGCCAAATGTTTTGCTTCTCCATTAGAAAGCCCTCCCCTGAGGCATCATTGACTCCCCTGTGTATAGATTTTGATGGTCTCAATTCTTGTATTATCTCATCTAAAAGTGTGTGACTTTGCCAATAATTCACTCCAGACAGAAAAGAATCCTGTGCCTGATGTTGAACTCAAAAGGACAGCGACAGAAAAAGAAAAAGGAGGAGTCCTCAAAGCAGCAAGGTCATTTGTCTGTGTGGGCCTCTCAGGCCATTTGTTTTATCTACACTTTGTTAAAAGTCCTTCGTCTGGTCCGGAGATTCTCTTTAGAACCAAGAACCCCTTATCTCTGTGATGTTCCTCTTGTTGCTAAGCTCCACTCAGCCTGTGAACCTGAGACAGAGGAGCTCCAAGGAGCAAGAGGTAGCCCTGCGCAGGGAAGGAGGAGAGGAAACAGGTGTCCAAGATGCTCAGGGTTGTTGTGGAGTCTGCCACCATCAGCCCTCCGCTCAGTCCCACACCCAGAGCCTTCGTAACTGTCTACTTCAGAGGTGAGAACCGGGTTCCAGGAGGTAACCGGGATCCCTGCTAGGTATCACACAGCTAATTCCACTACATGAATGATGTCCTGTTGGACACACTTAGGTGGTAGATTGCTAGTTTCAAAACCTGTTACCAAGCACCTAGCATCCTGTGAGTGAGAAAATCAAGTCCATAGAAATGAAGGCAGTCCTGTTGGCCCTCCATATCTGTGGGCTCTGAATGTGGGAAGTTAGAGTCAAAAATATTTAAGGGCAGGCAAGATGGCTCAGTGAGTGAAGCAAATATCATTCCTACACTCCATTGGGCAAAAGGAATCACAGCCCCACATGGCTTTGAGACTCAGGGTACTATGTCCTAGGAAGAAAGAAAGGGAAATGAAAATCGAGTTACATGTGTGTAGCACACATGTGCTACATGTGTGTAGGGGGCCTAGGTCCAGTCCATGCATGCTCTCTGGTTGGTGGTTCAGTCTCTGTGAGCCCCATGGGCCCAGGTTAGTTGATTCTGTAGGTCTTCTTATGGTGTCCTTGACCTGTCTGGCTCCTCAGTTCTTCTGTCCAACTCCTCCACAACATTCCCCAAACTCCTTCTAATGTTTGGCTGTGGGTCTTTGTATCTGTTTCCATCAGCTTCTAGATGAAGCCTCTCAGAAGACAGTTGTGCTAGGCTCCTGTCTGCAAGCATAGCAGAGTATCACTAATAGTGTCAGGGGTTGGCTCTCCCCCATGACACAGGTCTCAAGTTGGGTGAGTCATTGGTTGGCCATTCCCTCAATCTCTGTTCCATCTTTATCCCTGCATATCTTGTAGGAAGGACACATTTTTGGGTCAAAGGTTTTGTGGCAGATATGTTGCTTAATCTTCATGTGGGTCCCCTAACAATTGAAGTGGGGGCTCTTTCTGACTCAGTTGCCTGCCTTTGAGATCCCCTTCCCCTAGCTGGGATGTCCTGTCTGGCCTCAGTAGGGAAGGATGCAACTTGATGTGTCAGGGCAGGTAGTACCCAAGGGAGGCTTCCCTTTTATGAGGAGAGGGGGAGGGGGTAATGGGAGAAGAGGCTGAATGGGGGAAGAGGTTTATGAGGGTGGGACTAGGAGGAGAGGAGGGGGCTGCAATCAAGATGAAAAGTAAATTAATTAAGTAAGTAATGAAAAAAAAGAAAAGAAAATAGGGTTATCAATCACACAGGGCGATAAGTTTGAAATACCTGAAAAGGAAACCATAGATGCTCTGTTACAACTGCCAACATAGACTTGACTTCTAGGGTACTCTACCTCTCTTGACCCTATTCAAACCCAGACACCAAAATACTTCCCCAAACTCATACCAGCCCCTTGGTGTCTTTGCAGATATGAAGAAAAGAACTCGTGTGGAAGATGGAAACGACCCTGTATGGAATGAGGTAGACACACCATGGCCATCCTGGAAGAGGAATGAACACCTCCAAGAGCAAAGGGGCAGGGCCAGGCACTAACCAGGTGCCAGAGGTCTAGGGAGCTCCAGGGAGTCTCACCTGAGTTTCTTAAGACTGAGGCAACTTAGTCTAAGTTAGCCTCTAATCTGATGGGACTGCAAAAGTCCACAGCTGTTCTTGATCTCTCTCTCTTGCCTCTGGGGATGCACCACAATGTGGTCCATCAACTAATCCATCACACCATTCTGATAGATATAGAATCCCGAAGCAGAGACAAAGCTCCTTGTACAGCATCCTCTCTTCTCTTTGTCACTCATATTGTCTCACCCGACAGTCACTCAACTAATATGCCCAGGAAGCTTCAGCACAGGAACACGAGTGGGATAGCCCACACGTGGAACAAGATAGCAAGTGGAATCTCCTTAGGAAAGTAAACACGGCAGAAACTCCAGCCCATCCCTAGACTTGCTCTCACTTCCTAGAAAGGTGGATGAGAAAAAGGAGGTAAGATGTTGCCTGGTGGTGTCCAGTGTTCCTAATCCCAGCACCCCTGTGATTGAGGTAGGAAGATTACTGAGCTCCAGGCTAACCTGGCCTGCCTAGTGAGTTCCAGACCAGCCAGGATACATAATAAGGCCCTGTCTCAAATTCAAAATCAAAGAAAATAGAAATGGGAAATACTGATTTCTTTCTGCCCTTCACAGACCCTGATCTGGCACCTCTGGCATCAGCCACTGGAAAATGATTCCTTCTTGAAAGTCATACTTCAGGATTCAGGTTCTAAAAAGAAAGAAAGGTAAGGCAGAAAGAGGCAGGAGGGGCCCAGCTCACTGACCAAAGCAGTAGCAGAGCAGCTGCTAACCCATTTCTGACACATAACCAACTCAGATGAAGGGTCAGCAACCCTGCCACACAGCCAAGGAAAACTGGAGGGTGGTATTAAAGGAGAATCAAGAGATAAAGATGGCCTAGAATGCACACTTGGGTACCAGCAGCAGCTCTGTCTTGAAGCCACAGTTCTTGAATGTCAGCCTGATCCTAGCCTCTGGTCAAAGCCCAATCTAGTATCCAACCCAGACTAACATCCCCTTAGGAGTGAATCCATGACACACCATGGGCCTTTTCCAGCACATAGAATCTAATTGTTCCATCTTGGTCAGGTGCCCACCATCCTTGATCCAATGATGTAGTTTTCTTGGGATTTCCCAAACAGCTTCCCATAGAGTGTGGAGAAACCCTACCCCCACTGGTCTCTGGTGGATACTCTGCTCACCTGGATTCTTCAGGCTGTGGGAGGGAAATCATCCCCAGGACACAGCCTGGGACACAGGAGGAGCCCTCTACCCTGTCTGGAAATCACATCTACCTCCTGCCTCCCCCAGGTTCATTGGCCTGGCCACTGTACTGCTCAACCAGCTGGCACAAAGACCAAACGAAGTCTTGTTTGTGAGGAACCTGATCCTGCTCAACCATTCCATGAAGCCCACTGACGTGAGTCAGACACCAGGAAGTCCAGGCAGGAGGAACATGGACTGCTGGTGTAGCTGAGCTTCTCGCTCCAGGAGCACCCAAGAGCTCCACCACAAAGGAGTCCTTTGCACCCTGGGAGGGCCAGTCACACTGCTGTCATCATCTGGTCCCCCTCACAACATCCATCTCCCATCCACTCTTCCATCACCCCAGGAGTCGGTCCCTGTGCTAGACGCTGGGATTCCAGACAGAATGTTGACAGGCAGAGAGGAATAAGAAAGCTTCGTGGGGGAGAAAAGGGAAGGCTTGAGTGTGGCTCGTTTGAAGGCTCCTGCTTTGGGGAAACCAAAGACAGGCTTACCCAAGCAATTGATGTGAAACTCATATTTGGCTTTTCCTTGTTGGACCTATGAGATAGAAGCCTAACAACTGAGTTCAACCCCAGGCCCTACATGGAGGCAGAGGGTACTGACTCCCACAAGCTATCCTCTGACCTCCACACTTGCATTTTGACACAAACATGCCCCCCCCTCACTTTACACAACATAAATAAGTAGAAGTTAGATCCTCTGTCATCTAGCTGTTTATCAGATCCTGGCCATCGGGGCTGACAATCACTGTTTGGCTCTTTGGCTTGTTATTAGAGATAGCAGACTGACTTCCTAGAGTCTGGCAAAGGGCAGGCTGGCCTCCTGGGCTGCTTTCTGTAGATAACAGATTGGTCCTCTGGACTGGTGGCCACAGCAAGAATGCTGTTATATGTGTGGGTGTTATATGACCAATGTATATATCCAGTCTCTCAGAAGGACAGGAGTTTGTCCACTCATCAGGAGAGGCAGGTCCCCTTGCAGAAGGGCGTGGAGAGAAGGCAGATTCAGGGAGGGCAGGCTGCCTGTGCTATTGGTACAAGGTGGAGGTGTAGACAAGACAGGAGCCATAGGCGAAGGGGCTTTGTGGTGTGTGCTGCCAAGACTTGTTTCTAATCATTTAAAGAGGTAGTGGGTATTCAATGGGCAATCCTGAGGAATGGTCTAAAGATGGGTGGGTGGGTGAGGAGTTTTTGAAAGAAGGATGTCAGTTAGGGGGTACTGATAGTTTTCTAGATCAGGAGATGCTAAAGTTGCCATGGGAGGACACCCTATTTAGCACCATGGTTCAGGACTGGTCCTGAGTCACGTTTCCCTCTTCTCAGCAGCCTCTTGGGTCTTCTGCCATTGATAACATTATAATTCAATTATCTTCCAAGCAAACACACACACAAACACACACACAAACACACACACAAACACACACACACACACACACACACACACACACACACACACACACACACGGAGTATATAGCCCTACCCCATGGAGGAGGGGCCATGAACCCAGCCAGACTAGAAAGGCTGGTGCTAACCTATTAAGGGTTTTCAAGATCTGGCTTCCAAGTCCCTGCCTTTGCTTTGCAGTGTACTGTCACCCTACAGGTGGCCCAAATATATGACCAGGATACTGAGATGACAGGTATGTCTTTTCCTAGGGCGTTACCAAGTGTGAATGGGCTCTTTGGAAACTTTGAGACCCAATTCTTTTTTCTTTTTTCTTTTTTCTTTTCTTTTTTTCTTTCTTTTTTTTTTTTTTAGCCCTGGCTGTCCTGTCCTGGAACTCACTCTGCAGACCAGGCTGGCCTGAAACTCAGAAATCTGCCTGCCTCTGCCTCCCAAGTACTGGGATTAAAGGCGTGTGCCACCACTGTCCAGCTGAGACCCAATTCTTAAGGCTTACCAAAAGACTATGGCCAGATAAGGATCTCTAGAAGTCTTATGGACCTAATGGTCAGATCATCATCTGTCTGGTTAATGCCACTGTTCTAGTTTGATTTTTATTTCTATGATAAACACTATGACCAAAAGCAAGTTGGGGAAGAAAAGGTTAATTTCAATGGTCCACCATAAAGAGAAGTCAGGACAGGAGCTCAAAATGGAAACTTAGAGGCTGAAACTGAAGCACAGACCATGGAGGAGTGCTGCTTACTAGCTTGCTCTCCATGGTTTGCTCAGCTAGCCCAGGACCACCTGCCCATGGGTGAAACCTACGTAGTGGGCTGGGCCCTCCTACAGCACTTGTTAAGGAAGAATCCCCTATAGACTTGTTTACAGGCAATCTGATGGGAACAATCTCTCAATTAAGGTCCTCTCTTCCCAGATTACTGTAGGTTTGTGTTAAGTTGACCAAAACTAGCCAGTACAGCCACCCATCTGTCCATCTCTAGTTCTCATCTCTGGATCTAAGACTTCTCTTAATACGGCCAGAAAGACATAAGGACAGCCATTTCCAAGAGTCCCCATATATGAAGAACAGGGTCCAGGGATTCCCTACTACTTAGAATGAGGGGGCCATGAGCTTGTTCGGAGAGAGACACGTGCTCTATCAGGGTCAGGTTTTTAGTCAGGAGTAGGTCGTGGAGGACAGAATGATTGAAAAGGGGGAAAGGCTTAAAAGCCTTCTAAACTGTCCGCCCTGGACTTTTTCCTTAGGCAATGAGAAGCTCCTGGGCTCAACTGTTGCCTGGAATAAACAAATGGTCTCTGGCTTCCCCATGTACAGGGCTCTGGCTTCCAAGCCTCAACACTTTCAGGTGAGAAACTAGAAAGGGGAACTGGAGAGATGGTTCAGAGGTTAAGAGCACTGACTGTTCTTCCAGAGGTTCTTAGTTCAATTCCCAGCAACCACATTACATGGAGCCTCACAACCATCTGTAATGGGATTTGATGCCTCTTCTGGTGTGTCTGAAGAGTATGTGTACTCACATAAATAAAATAAGCAAATCTGAGAGAGAGAGAGAGAGAGAGAGAGAGAGAGAGAGAGAGAGAGAGAGAGAGAGAGAGAAAGAAACACTAATGGCCACATGATTTTGGGTCCTTGTGGTGGCTGATCAGACCCTTGATAACCCAATCCAGCCTCCTCTATATTTTTAGTACCTGGAGTGTTGTTGTTTGTTCCTCGAAAGGTTTGCTCATGAGAGAAGAGTCCCCCTCAGAGGAGGGAAATCTTGGGGTCCCCTCTGTAGGTTCGGCTGAAGGTGTTTGAAGCCCGACAGCTCCTGGGCAACAACATCAAACCAGTCGTGAAGATTAACATTGCGGGCCAGCAGCATGTCACTCGGATCAAGACAGGAAACAATGCTTTCTTCAATGAGGTAGGCTGAACAAGCCACGTAGGAGCCAGCCAGGAGCTGGGCATTCCCTGGAAGCAGCTGGCAAGCTTGCTTCCTAAGTGGACTGTCCGTAAGCTACAAGCATCTACTGAACACCCATCACACACCACGTATTATGCTTGGTATTGGACAAATAGGATAGGTTATTTCTGTGAATTCTGCTAGTAGTCTGTTGGCAACACAGCACGTGAGCCCACAAACAATTCCAGGGGGCGGGCAGGCAGGTATGGAGAGCACTGTTAGTGGGGCTATGGAAAGCAACCCCAGTTCACACACATCTCGTCACTGCTGAGCCCCAATAGCACTGTGTTAGGGACACAGAAGGTGCTGGGCAGAGGCCTGTGAAATTAGTTGTTGACTAGATGAATGAAGACAGAACCCACAAGGACCAGGTAGGTCCTGGGACAGAGGAGAGGTCTTAGGAAAGGCTTTATCAGAAGATAAAAGAGACAGAGAGAGCTAATTCAAAGCAGATTTGATTATTTTTTTTATGCTAAACTGTAGCTGAAGGGTATGGCTGGGAGTGTGTTGCTCAGGTTAGGGTCCCACCACGGATAGAGCCTGACAGCCATGGAGGACTTAAGTTCGAGAGTCACAAGGCAAAGGAGGTTCTAGCTGACGAAGAGAGAAGAGTGGAGCAGACTTGCAGGGCAATCCAGAAGGAGCACGAGGCTCAAATAGCCACTCTGGAGCAGTGAGCCAGTTTTGAACAGCTAGGTTCTCTAGAGAGGCATTGGGCAGAACACCCTCTGGGAGCCTAGGAATCCTCTGGTTCTGGGGAGTGTTTGGGTGGTCATAAGTAGAGAATCACTGAAGTGGGCACATAGTGAGAGGGCAGGGGAAGGAGAAGAAGACTCATATTATCCCAAAGCTTCAAGTGTACTACCTTGGAAAAAGTAGTAGAAGCTGTCTACTCCACCCCCATTCTCTCTGCTCCAGATATTCTTCCAGAATTTCCACGAGGTTCCTGCAAAGTTCTTTGAGGAGAACATCCTAATCGAGGTAAGGGGCCAAACTGGTCTCCAGCTAAATGGGACCCTTTACTTGTCCTATCTCAATATCAGAAAACACTCTGAGTTGGACTCACTTGTCTGGTTGTCTCCAAGGCAGCATTTCCAACACTTTTGCTCCCCTTTGTGGTCTAAACACCTCGTTCATTTGTTCATTCAGCCAGTAGAGATCACCAACTGGCAGGGCCCGAGCTGCATGCTTGGGTGAACAGGGAAGCCAAATTCTCTTGTCACCAGAGTGGCGTACCCCATTCCCCAACAAGAGGGAGCCAATGACAATGGTGACTATATATTCATCCAGCGCCTTCTGGGTAGGTGTCCAGCACAGGGCTGAGGGGAACTAGGAAGCTTTCCCCCAAAGGCCATTTTCGTGTTCTTGGGCACAGAACACAGTGCAAACAACCAGAACAATATGTACTAAAAAGAGTCGATTGCAACAGCTTACTTTGGGACAAGTGAATTGATCTAGAGAGACCAATATCCTCATCAATGAGATTAAATTTAAAAATATGAACCTCACATGGTTCCTCTGAGAACTACCGAAGAATGGTAGTTCTTCATGCAAATGCTGGCCATTAGGAAGGTCTCAGAGAGGTGGGTGTGGTGGTCTACACTGGGACCCCCAGAGCTCCAGAGGCTGGGGTGGTGGGGAGGGGCAGGAGTGCCAGGAGTTCAAGGTCATTATTAGCTACTTAGTGAGTTTGAGGCCAGCCTTAGCTACATGAGACCCCGACCCCGCAGATGTATCCTTGCTATTGCTTCCACAGAGGGTAGGGGTAATTGGCATTGTGAATGATAAGATCTTTCTGGAAACTCCCTGCAGGTGGTGGACTCTTCAGCATCAAGATCTAAAGCAGAGATTGGGAGATTTCAAGTGAGTCCTGATGAAGGAGGAGGCTGGGAAAACTATTATGGATCCCGTCCAGGGAAAAGAACTTGACACCTCACACAGATCCACATGTGGACCTCAGCTGTAGGATGCTAGCAGCAACAGTGATAATAAGTATCATAATAATAACTATCATAACACTGTGTGCAGCCTGCGGGAGCACCGTGACGGTCAAAGTGTGTCAGGTTCAGATAAGGATTGTTACCCACCGTTATGTACTGTGGACACTGGACAAGTCTCCATTCATGGACCCAAGAAGGTCCCCCTAAGTGCTGAAGAACTCCAGAAAGAGATTGATCCCTTTGAGAACGGAATGGGGGGAAAGATATTCTGTGTCATAGCCAGACTGGCCAAGAACTCACTGTGTAGTTCAGGCTAGCCTCAAACTCATGGCCATCCTCCTGCCTCAGCTTCCCAATTGCTGCAATGACAGACATGAGCCACCATCCGCAACTTAGTATTTGTATTTAATTTTAATGTTTTTATTTTTAAAGATGAAAGGTTTTATTTATTTTCAGTGTGTGTGTGTGTGTGTGTGTGTGTGTGTGTGTATGCATATGCACATGCACATGCACACATGGGCCACAGTATAAAAGTCATGGTGCATGTGTGAGATAAGAGGACAGATTTTTGGAGGTTGGTTCTGTCTATCATCTTCCCAGTCCGGTACTTCTACTTTTACAGCTAAATGATGTGTCTCCATGATCAAAAATCAGAAGTTTCTGTTTTGATGAAGTCTAGGACTGGGGATGTAGCTCAGAACTAAAGGATTTGCCCAGCATGCACCTTGTCCTGGTTCAGTCTCCCACACTAGGAATAGGGGAGAGGGGAAAGTCATTTTAGTAAAGTTCAATATATCTGGTTTTTTATGGGTTGTACAGTGTGTGTGTATGTGGGGGGTGTCTCTGTGTATCTGTGTGTGTTATCTGTGTGTGTTCATGTGTATGTGATGTGAGTGTGTGTGCATATGTGTGTGCATGTGTATGTATGTGTGTATATATGTCTCTGTGTGTATCTGTGTGTGTTTGTATGTATGTTGTGTGTGTGTTGCTAGGAATTGAACCCAGTTGTATAAGTGTGTAAGCTGGAAAAGTGCTCTAGTCTAGTTTATACTTTTGCTTGTTTTTATTTTTTGTTTTGTTGTGTGTATGTGTGTGTCTGCATGCATGTGTATGTATGTCTGTGTCTGTGTATCTGTGTGTGTTATCTTTATTATCTCTGTGTGTTTGTGTGTATGTTGTTTGTGTGTGTGTGTCTATGTATATGTGTATGTGTACATGTCTCTGTGTATCTGTCTGTGTGTGTTGTATGTGTTTTGTGTGTGTGTTTGTGTGTGTGTGTCTATGTGCATGTGTCTATGTATGTCTGTGTGTATCTGTATGTGTTATCTTTGTGTGTTTGTGTGTGTGTCTCTTAGGAAGATTTTGCTTATCTAATACAAGCCAGTGAATGAGTTTGAAAGCAGGCCTGTTATGCAGTCTTGGCTATTGATCTGTGGAACCTGGGCACTGGCCCTGTTCACACTGATTCTTCTCCCATAGCATCCCCCTCAGGCCCAGGCTAATGCCCAGGAGGCCACCTATAGTCTCTGCCAGAGTCCACTTGATCATCCTCATCCCTAGCATAGAGCTGCCCTCCCCTACCCAGGGAAAAGGAAGAGTTAAGTGTATATTCTAGATATTTCCAGCACAGGCTTCCTCACAGGCTAGCTGTTAAGCCTTTGGGAGATCTTTCAAACTCAATAGCCTCCTCCATATCAGGGACAATGGTCCTTCAATTTTTTCTACAGAGTTCAGACTAAATCAACACTCAAGCACTGCTCTAGTGTGGCCACTGGGTTAGTTGGAATTGCAAATCTTGGTTTTGGCTTGTGCTGCACAACTTTCCCTTGTTAGATCAGATACGGGTAATACTGAGCATAGAATGAGGAAGGGCTTATTTTGGCTCCAAGTTATAGACGTTAGTCCCGTTGCTTTGGGCCTGTGGTGGCACATATATTAAAAAAGAGTACAGGTGCGCAAAGGGAAGACACACAAACAGGGTAGAATGGGTTTCCCAAATCTCCTTCAAAACAGTGCTGACCAGCAACCCAAAACCTTCCCACTCGGCCCCAGCTTCTAAAGGCTCCACTATCCCCACATGGCCAGGTTGAGGACTAAGCCTTTACTGCATGGTGCTTTGGGGGGACATTTAAGATCCAAGCTTACTGGGCATGGTAGCCGATGCCTTTAATCCCAGCACCAGGAGGTGGATCTCTTGTGAGTTCAAAGCCAGCCTGGTCTATATTGTACGATCCATGACAGCCAGAGCTATATACAGTGAAAACATGTCTGAAAACAAAAACAAGAACAAAAGCCAAGCTAGAACTAATCTTCATTTTGCTCTTATCTTTTTCAGACAGACATTGGGTTTATCTACCATTCCCCAGGTAGGCGACACATTGCAAGCATTCTGACTCCTTTAGACCAGGAGTCAAAATTCCTCAAGATCCTCAGAAAATGGGGAGAAGATATCACAAAATATTTATCTGCTTCAAAATATTTACTTACTTAATGGTATATTTTATCATAACTTGTACTAATAGCATCTTTCTCTGAAAAGCTCAACACAACCCACTGGAGGAGGGGAAGTCAAATGCTCAATTTATATGGAATTCTAAGTTATATTTCTAATTTGTGAAGCCAGTAACTACTTTGTTGGGTTTTTTTAATTTTTTGTGTTGTTTTTCTTGACATTGAATCTTACTATGTAGCCAAGGCTAGCCTGGAACTCATGAACCAGACTCTGAGTTCTAGGATCATGGGCATATGCCCCATACCATGCTCTTTTTAAGCATACTATTTTAGTAGATGGATAGATAGATAGATGATAGATAGATAGATAGATAGATGATAGATAGATAGAAAGATAGATAGAGATATAAGCTAATTAAATGTGTTCTTTGACGTTTTTACACCCTCCTCCCATACACACACGTAATACTTGCTGAATATTTTCTCACCCCACTCTCTTATCTGTCTCCCAGCCTTGTCTACCCCATCCCTCCCTCCCTGTCTTAGGGTTTCTGTTGCTATGATGAAACACCATGACCAGTAAAGCAAGTTGGGGAGGAAAGGGTTTCTTTGGCTTACACTTCCATATCACTGTTCATTTTTGAAGGAAGTCAGGACAGGAACTCACACAGGGCAGGAACCTGGAGGCAGGAGCTGATGCAGAGGCCATGGAGGGGTGCTTCTTACTGGCTTGCTTCCCACGGCGTACTTACCTGCTTTCTTATAGAACCCAGGACCACTGCCCACAACAAGCTGGACCCTTCCCCATTGATCACTAACAGAAAATGTCTTACAGCTGTATCTCATGAAAGCATTTCCTCAACTGAGGCTCTTCCTTCTCTGATGCCTCTAGCTTGTGTCAAGTTGACATAAAACCAACCAGTACGCGTCTCTATAAATTTTCTCATATCTATATATGTATTTTGTTTTTCGATCCACTGAGTTTAACCAGGGCCATGGGTTTAGTGCTTTCCACTGGAGCCTGGTAGATGCTCAACTAAAGACAGTGACTCCACATGTCCTAAAGTTTATCAACCAGTTCAGCAGTGACAGATAGGGAGCCAGGAGCTCCTCCTTCATCTGTGACTGACTGTTAATAGGGCCAGCCTTCCACGGGCTCAGAACTGGTAACCACAGCTGCTGTGAGTTCACGATCATAATGGCTGCATTGTGCCTGGTGGATGGCAGTTCTCAGCCCACCTCCCTATCCTCGGTTCCTTCCTGCCTCTCTTCCACAAGGTCTCTTGACCTTTAGAGGGAGCATGAGAGGAGTGGGATGTCTTGTTTAAAGCTGAGCCCTCGCTAACATTTTGGTTTTGTTTTTTTTGAGACAAGATCTCATATATACCTGGGCTAGCCTCACTCTTGCCATCATTTCTTTGTATCGAGAATATTCTCCCTATCATTTTGAAACACACAATTATTGTCAACCACCATTACTTTGCTGTAGAGATCCCATCCCTTCCTAACCCACTACATCCTCTGCCCACTAAAATCCTCTTTCTGCTCTCCTTCATCCTATCCATCCCAGCTCTGGTACCCACTAGTCTACAAGAGACTGAGATTGTAGTGGGGAATTCTACCATGAGCCGGCCATAACATACATACCAGGTTGACACTGGATCTGTCGGTGGAGAGCTGCTTGCCTCCTTATGTCTGGCATAAGGAGAGGGTGGAAAGAGGGTTGTCCTTTCCCAGAGGCACTAGCAGCCATGTGTACGTACCATCATAGTGTCATAACAGAGGAGACTTTTCTTCTTTACCATGGGATGAGAGCCTCTGTGTTACCTGTCCTAGTTTCCCTAGAAACAAAGGCTGTTTAAGGAAAGAGAGAGATAGGGAGAGACAGACAAACAGACTGGAGAATCTCACACTGACTCTGCCTCCCCAGGTCACACACTCCTAAGGAAATGGTTAGGCCTCTGCCAGCGAAATAAGACCACCAGTGGAGTCAGAGGCTACTTGAAAGTCACCATCTGTGTTCTCGGTGTGGGGGATCAAGCACTGGTGAGGCTGCCACCCCCTTCCCAATTCCCAGTAATATTTCTTATGTGACTGACTCCCAGGGGACCTCTGTGCCTTCAGTGGTCATTGGCCTACATCACCTTTGTTCAGTGCACCATAAAGGGTTGTCCGTTCTCCCTGCATCACATGGAAAGTAGGGAAAGTCAAAAGTGGGTGAACTTGGCTGTGCCCTCCGTGCCTCTGAACTTGACACTGTCTAATTCTCTGGCATCTGCAGGTAGATCAAAAGCTTCCCTATGAGCCTGATACCCAGGTCCAGATCTTCAAGTCAACAGAAGTTCCAATCAGCCTGGCTTACTTGCAGTTCTTCATCTACTGTGCAGAGGATCTCCATTTCAGTTAGAGCCTGTGGGAAGGGAGGAGGAAACTCCGAGGTTCCCTGTGATGGGCACCTTAGATCCATACCAGATCCCCCCACCCCTTTTTTTATATTATCAACTTAAAATTTTGGAATGGGGGATAGGCTACACTGAAATTCACAATTGTTTTCTTTTCTTTTCCCAGTTTTTCTGAGACAAGGTTTCTCTTTGTAGTCCAGTTGTCCTGAAACTTGCTTTGTAGACCAGGCTGGCTTCTAGCTCAGAGATCTGCCTGCCTCTGCCTCCCAAGTGTTGGGATTAAAGGCGTGTGCCACCACCACCTGGCATGTATTTCCCAAGATACATTTTCAAGGCTCCAAGCCATTGACTTGGTTTTGATGTCTAGATGCAGACTTAGGCTTCTCTAAGACATCCTATATGCATACATGCACACATACACACACACACACACACATATACAGAGAGAGAGAGAGAGACAGACAGACAGACATGTACATACCCTGAAACCATTGTGTAAAATGGAAACCAAGCTGAGGGGTGGGGGAGGGGGTGGCAGATTAAAAGTTGTTCAGCTCCCATGTTTCCTTTTCCTGACCCCTCCATAAAAAATGGTTCATTTGTTTCAGAAGTCCTTTTAACTTCCTGTCCTAGGCAACCACCAGTCAGCCACTCCTGTGTTGGAAGTGGAACTAATTGGGGACAAGGTAGGTACAGAAATGTTCTGAGAAACACCTAAGAAAAGCAACACATAGGAAGAATGGGGCGGGGGGGAAAGGGGAGCAGAACCCTAGTCCAAGGCTAGCCTAGTCTACATAGTCTATAATGAGTTCCAGGCCAGCCAGGGCTACATAGTGATACTCCATCTCAATAAAATACAATACAAATAAAATGTATGCTAAACATATGATGTATAGTATATGCCTGTAATCCCAGCACTTTGGAGGGAGAGACAGGAGGACCAGGAGTTGGAGGCTAGCCTTGACTATATGAGAGATGCCTCTATTTTAAAACGGAGGGGGAGGGGCTGCTACTGCCACCAGCCATGGTTTTTGGCCATTTTTTTCTATTGGAATTGATGTAACAAAACCTATGTATATGCCACATGTAACATAGTTGGCAGTCCTATCTAGGAAGCAGGAAGATCACTGCCAATGCCAGGATAGAGCCTGGTAAATATTGAGTTCTAGGCCAGTTAGGGCTACTTAGTGAAACCTTGCCTCAAAACAAAACAAAGTTAGGGCTGCTTTTCCAGAGGACTTAGGTTCATTACCATCATCAGCCCGGTGGCTCACAACCATCTGTAACTCCAGTTCCAGTGGTGCACTAACACCCTTTTCTGACCTACTCTGCCACCAGGCATCATGGCAGGCACAGGCATACATGCAGGCAAAACACCCATAAGTAAGTAAGGAAAAGAACATACCCCCCCAAAAAAAAACGGAAAAAAGAAAAACAGATTACACATTCCTAGCATGTGTAAAGCTGAGGGTTTTCAGTCCCCAACACTGCTATAAAAAGGTATGGAGGCAAGCATTTTAAGATAGTCAAGGGAATGGAGCTGGGCCTCTTGAGAAATTATTGTTCAAGGATAACTTTAGGCCAAGGGTTAGGAATCAGCCCATTCATCTAGGCACTGCAGGAAGTGGACTGGACGGGGAGGTGGGAAGGGAAGGCCAGTAGCCGGAGGGAGGGGCATGTTAGCACTGACTGAGCCTTGGGATGTTCTCAGCTTAGGACATATCCCCAGAACCAGTCCGACAACCCAATATGGAACCAAATGCTCACCTTCCAGATTCAGGTATGGCTGCCCCATCATGCCCTCCCTCCTGTTCGTTGCATTCAAAAGGGAAAGTCTGGTGTTGGTGTGGATGGAGGCTAGGGTGAACTGAGCACAGCTAAAGAGGCTGTGCCTGGCAAGGAACACGAGGAAGCCCAGGATATGCTACTCAGTCCAGTAGAGAACAGTAAGGGGCCATACAACCGGATTCTAGAGATTTAGAAATGTCCTTTCACCCACACGAAGACAAGAAATCAGGGACGGGCTGGAGAGATGGCTTAATGGTCAAGGACACCACAAGAAGGCCTACAGAGCCAAGTAACCTGGTCCCACGGGGCTCATAGAGACTGAACTACTAACCAAAGAGCATGCATGGGCTGTACCTTGGCCCCATACACATATGTAGCAGATGTGCAGCTTGGTCTTCACGTGGGTCCCCCAACAATTGAGGGTGGGGACTATCTCTGACTCAGATCCTGTTGCCTGCCTTTTGATCCCTTTCTCCCAGCTAGGCTGCCTTGTGTGGCCTCCGTGGGAGGGGATGCACTTAGTCCTGATGAGACTTGATGTGTCAGGGTGGGTTGGTACCTGAGGGAGCAGGGCTCTCCTTCTCCTCAGAGAAGGGGAGGGGGAGAAGAGAGGTGGGAGGTGGAACTGGGAGAGAGGGGGATGAAGACTACCATCAGGATGTAAGGTGAATAAATAATGGAAAAAAAGACCACATGCCGCTCTTACAGAGGACCTGGGTTCAGTTCCCAGGACACCCATGGCATTGTATATGTGTGTGTGTGTGGGGGGGGAATGCATGTTCCAAGGATGCACATGTGGAGATCAAAGAACATCCTGAGGGAGTTGTCTGTTCTGAGAGTTGAGCTCAGGTCACTGGGCTTGCACACCAGTCCCTTTTACCCACTGAGCTGTCTCAACACCCCCGGCCCTGAAATTTCGACAAACTGGGGTCCATGTTAATATCAAGAATACAAGACAAGGCTTTGTATTCCAAGGCTGGAGAGATGGCTTTGTTGTTAAGAACTCTTGCCCCTATTGCAGAGGACTCAACTTCAGCTTCAAGTACCTACATGGAGGCTCATAACAGCCTGTAACTTCAGTTCCAGGGCATCTAGTACCCTCTTCAGACAGACATGTGGTGTGCTTACACAGACACAGGCAAAACTTGTATACACAAAATAACTCTTACAAACCAAATGAATACAATGCGATGTTATATCATTCCAGGGCCTTGCCAGCAGCCCTTATATGTGGGAAGCCTGAGAGCCAAAAGCACAGAGATAAATTTGGCTTGTCTGTGATTGAATAGAGTTGAGGAAGGCCTTCCCAACTTCGTGCAAGGTCCCCTGAGGACCATGCCACACTAGTGTACCTTCACCCTATCCCTACCCGTCTTCCCTTGCAGCTGCCCTGTCTCTCTAGCTACATCAAGTTCAGGGTCATGGACTGGTAAGCAAACGGGCTACAGGCAGACCCATGCTTTGGGGAGGATGAGGCAGAGCTGAGCCAGGGACTTAGTCTGCCGTGTGTTCCCCAGCTTCAAACATAATTGCCGGGAGGAGATTGGGTCTGCCAGCTTATGTCTCAGCCAGATCTCATCCACTGGCGAAGAGATCCAAGGCAAGCCAATCCTGGGACCCCTCCCTGCCTGGGACCCCTCCTTTTGTATCTCTCCCACCTGAGCCCCTGAATGTGCTCTGTCTCCTTCCAGGGATGTACTCTGGCTTCCTGCCCTGCTTTGGCCCCAGCTTCCTGACACTCCGTGGGGGAAAAAAGCCCCCTTTGAGGACCACAGAAGAAGGCACTGTAAGTTTTTCCTGTCAGCTTGGGTGGGTGGGGCAGTAGACATAAGGTTGACAGTGAGTGAAGCACCAGAGGATTAGAAATGTTAGCACAAGAGCATTCAGGTGGCTGATACGGGAAGATCATGAGTCTGAAGCCAATTGGACTGCATAGCATGGCTCATCTTAAAAGGGGAAGGGGACTGAAAGGTGGCTCAGCCAGTAAAGATGCTTCCTGCTACCACACCCATGACCTGCGTCCAATCCTGGAACACACATGGTGGAAGGAGAGAGCCAACTCTGAGCAGTTGTTCTCTGATCCCCACCCTCATGCCATGGCACACCCCATACCCTCAACACATAAATAAAATAATAAGATAAATAGAAGAGAAAGTGTGGGGCTGCTTAATAAGGCTGGCAGGGAGTTTGTGAGAGGAGCCCTGAGTTGTCACAAGCTTTGTCTCGTCCTCCACGTCACCTCATGGGCTCCTCGGCTTTTGTCTTCCACCAGTTAGCTCTTGCTGGGAATTTGCTCACAAGGCCAGGGGATCCTCTTAGTTTTGGCTTTTTCAGGGTTTATCTTGGACCAGTTATAACACGGAGGTAGAACATACATTGACTGTCCAGGTTGGGAACCCTCACTGGTGATTCACACATCTCCTCTAAGCTCTGAACATTTCTTAAGTTCAAGTCAACTGGCAGCATGAACTCATGAACAAGGGGCACTCTTCTGCACTGAGGCATCCTGGGATTCTTTACCAGGGCTGTGGGTGGAGCCATCCCTAAGCAGACTGTCCCTAGATAGTCTTGCCTTTGCTGTGTGGGCACCAGGAAGATCTATTTACTCTCTCTCTCTCTCTCTCTCTCTCTCTCTCTCTCTCTCTCTCTCTCTCTCTCTTTTAAATCATTCCTTTCTCTCTGTTGTTCCAGTGCATCCTTGATGCTGTTAAGGACGGTTTAGATTACCGTGGCCGAATCTTTGTGGAGATAGTCACCAAGATTAAGTCTCAGCAAGACTCGGTGATAAAGGACCTGTCTCAGGAAGTGACCCAAGTGGAGGTAATCACAGGAGACAGGTAACCCAGGAAAAGAAGGGTTTCTCTTCATCCCCCATATATCTTCTATGTGTATGTGTGTGTGTGGGGGGGCATTTCTGATACTGCAAGAGACACTGGCCACCAATATATTGGGAATATAAGGATACTTGGTCAGTCTACTGGAGAATTTCTCAAGCGTCTTCCAGGGCTGTCATGCAGAGCTAAATCCCTAGTAGCCAGGGACCCTGTAAACTCAGGGGTTCGACTTTGGAAACATGTTTTCTAAGGAGAAAGAAGATTTGTTGACAGCCTTATCTCCTCGGGACTTTGCAAGACAATTTAAGGCAGTTAGATTTCTTCCTAAAGCCAGTGGAGTGCCCCTGAACAGGAGGAGTTGAGGAGCAGGGTAGTGGCAGATTGGAGGAGATTATGCTGAGGTAGCTCAGCCAACAGAAACAAAGATACAGTCTCAGCAGAGGAGAGTTGGAGGAGAAGACAGTGTCCAGAGATCCCTTGAATAGAAGACAAAAGTGAGGCTGACTCCTCCAACCTTGTGCCCATTTTCTGTCTTGGGTGATGGCGTGGTCAACAGTGTCTGCCACCAAGATGGGCTCCCTGAATAAAGAAAGGAATATGGGAGACGGCAGATCCTATCTCTGGTGTGAGTGTCTGAGACATACACATAGCTCAGCCTGGAACCTGCTAGCCACATAGGCAGTTATAAGCACATCACAACTGAATCTGTGGTCTTGGGGAAATGGCCCAAAAAGAGTGGGTGGACTGAAGGGAGCTGAGAGCAGAGGATGGAGCCTAGCATGGTACCACATGGTACCACAGCCGGGAGGGGAGGGAAAGAAAGCAAAGATCTTGAGAGAGAAAGGGGGGGGGATGTAAGAAAGATACAGAGACAGGTAGAGACAGAGAGAGGTTCGGAAACATAAAGGAGAACAGAGACAGGTAAACACAGAGATACGGAGACAGAGACAGGTAAACACAGAGATACGGAGACAGAGACAGGTAAACACAGAGATACGGAGACAGAGACAGGTAGACACAGAGAGACACATACAACAGAGACATACACATGGAAAGAGGGGGCCAGGAGAGGAGAGGAGAGAGGAAAGGAGAGGGGAGAGGAGGGGAGGGGAGGGCAGAGGAGAGGAGGGGAGGGCAGAGGAGAGGAGGGGAGGGGAGGGCAGAGGAGAGGAGGGGAGAGGAGAGGAGGGGATGGGAGAGGGAGGGGAGAGGGAGGGGAGAGGGAGGGGAGAGGAGAGGGAGGGGAGAGGAGAGGGAGGAGAGAGGAGAGGGAGGGGAGAGGGAGAGGAGAGGGAGAGGGAGAGGAGAGGGAGAGGGAGAGGGAGAGGGAGGGGAGAGGGAAAGGAGAGGGAGAGGGAGGGGAGAGG